GTCTTCCGCGTCTCCCCAGCGTGGCGACAGACCGGGGCCGAGTTCATCGTCGCCACTGCGCTCGGGCTCGAAGATGTACACGTCGAAAACCGAGTAACCGCAAGGGAGGAGCTGCAAAACGGGCTGACCGTTGACGACGACGATAGGCGGAGCGGGAGGAGCAGGAGGTGCAGGAGGAGCAGGAGGCGCAGGAGGAGCAGGAGGAGCAGGAGGCGCTGGAGGAGCAGGAGGCGCTGGGCGACTATGCCACTGAGAGTAATCCCGAGTGTTGCCACCAGCAGGTCGATGGCTAAATAGGAAGTGAGTGCCTGGTAGGCCCGCCATGGCCTAGGCAGGCCGAGGGAAAACAAGAAAACTGAAGAGAACGAAGAGAATGAGCCTCGTTTGAAACCCTCGCCCGAGACCCCTCCAACTTCGCGGCCCGGGTTCCTCTGCAAGGAAAGGGGGAAAACTGTCAAGATCCCCCCGCAGAGGAGCTGAGGTGGTGAGGTCAATGCCTCGGTGGAGTGGAATCTTGCCGGGGCTGTCAATTGCGTGGTTGTACAGAGTCGTGCCTGGCACGGCATGCGACCCTGATTGGGCAGTCGCACCCTAAACTACGTGTGCGCAAGCATGGGCCAGATTCATGTTCGATGAATCTGGCCAGGCCAGCAAGGCGTGATGGGCGTGATTCCACGCCTTGTTGGCCATTTCACGCACTTTTCATGCACGGATACGAACGTTCTAGATGTGGATTGAATCCCTTTTAGAAAAAGCTTCAATTTCATGTTAAAACAATACATTTTATTTTTGCCATTTTATAAACGCCGGCGCTTATAAATTTCCTCGATTATAAGCGCACCCCCTATAAAAAAAAGTGTTCTTTTATACCCCCAGGGGCGCTACTATCCGGGGGGTGACGGTACAAGATAACCCAAGCATTATTTTCTAGTGTACGAGATAAGACATTTATGTCTTATACCCGGGCGATGACGGTACTAACCCTAGAAGTGCTGTACCCCATAAGGAGTGCCCCACTATAGCCTACAAGTAAGATTGTACTTTGACACACCTGTCAGAATCCCATTCACTAGACCAGTGGGATAAAAGGACTTGTTAAATAGCGGGTCAGTGCGCCCATAACCCCCAAGGACAACGAGCCTGTAACCATTCCCTAGGATCAATCGGGGATCACCAGTGGACCTCTGACACCCCCCCGCACTGGGATGCCCGAAGTGCACACACTGGGATTCGAACCCGAGACCTTCGCTCTGATACCATGTCAGAATCCCAGTCACTAGACCACTGGGATAAAAGGGCTTGTTAAGTAGCGGGTCAGTGCGCCCATAACCCCCCAGGACAACGAGCCTGTAACCCTTCCCTAGGATCAATCGGGGATCACCAGTGGACCTCTGACAACACCCCCATCGGCTAAGTGGGGGACAACAAAACTGTCATAAGACCAGTCAAGCAAGACAACAGAGCAAAGCAAAGCAAAGCTCAGGGTGGATCTCAAGGACACCACACAATCCGAGCACAAGCAAGCGGCGACAAGGCCAGTTCACATGCAGAGTTATAATTGCAAGGCAGTACACTGATCACAACCTAGCAAGAGGAAACATGCAGATATAAATATAGCTATCAATGTACAACAAGTACAAGATCAAGAGACAAGCAGGTGAGGTAGAACGGGCAAAAGCCCAAGAGCAGTGCAAACACGATGAAGATCACCAGACCCGAGGGCCTTGGTGAAGACATCAGCAGTGTTGGCCCGAGAGGCCACGTAAGAAAGATGAAGCTAACCACGTTGCTGCAGCTCTCGAGCAAGAAAGTAGCGATAGGCAATGTGCTTCATTCTGTGCTCCAGTCTCTGCTCCCGACACAAGGCAAGCATGACCTTGTTTTCGACGTACAGAACTGGAGGAGAACAAGGCGCCTCTCCCAAGTCGGTCAACAGGAAGGTGAGCCAGCGTAACTCCTGTGCAGCCATGGCCCCAGCGTAGATCTCAGCCTCACAACTGGAGCTGAGAACCAAAGACCGCCACGAAACAGAGCCGGAACCAAGGCTAAAGGTGTAACCCTGTGACGAACGCTGGGTCGCCTGGTCGTCGGCCCAAGAAGCGTCGGAGTGTCCAGTGAGTACCACTGAACCCTGTCCTCCAAGCACGAGCCCCATGCCCGATGTACTGCACAAGTAACGCAATACCCTCTTCGCAGCATCATAGTGCATTTTTTGGTGTCTACCGGGAGCCACGTAGCGAGCCAAGAGGCTGAGAGGGTACGCAAGGTCAGGTCGTGTGCACGTCATCAGGTACATGAGGCAACCCACAAGCTCTTGGTACAGACCACTCGGCTCTACGGACTCGTTCGAAGGTGGAGCTGAGAGCAAGTGGCCGGTAGACAGAGGAGTGGGCTATGGCGTGGAGATCTGGAAGCCGAAGCGCCGAAGGACCTGGTGTACCATGTATGATCGAGTCAGGGTGATGGTGCGCCATGCTCTGTCTCGGGTGATCTACAAGCCAAGATAGCTACGCAGCTCACCCAGCTCAGTGCAGGTGTGTCTCTCCTACAGCTCTGCCTTCACTATGGCCAGCGCCTCAGTGTCGGTAGTAGCAAAAACCAAGTCGTCGACGTACACGAGAACGTAGAACGGCTGCAGGGTAGTGTCGGTGCGTAGGAACAGCGACGGGTTAGCAGAGGAAGGAGCAAACCCAAGAGCCGCAAGTATAGTACTCAGTGTGTCGCGCCACTCTCGGGGCGCCTGACGGAGACCGTAGACTGGTCGCCGGAGGCTCCACTGGGTACCTGCAGGAAATAACCCAGTGAAGCCAGGTGGGCGGCGCAGCCAGATCTCCTCGTGCATGCTGCCCTGCAGGAAAGCTGTGCTTAATTCCAGAGAGTGCAACTCGTAGTCACGCTCAGCACCGACGTGCAGCAACACCCGAAGAGTAGTCATCTTCGGGGTGGGGGAGAAGGTCTGGAAGAAGTCAACTCCCTGTCGCTGACTAAAGCCTCGAGCAAAGTAACGCGCCTTGAAGGCAGGCGGAGAACCCGGCGGCCGCTTCATTCTGAAAATCCACATGCCATCGACTATGTTCGCCCCAAGAGGAGGAACTCCGTCGACGTAGGTGCGTGTGGACTTCCAGGAAGCCATCTTTGCGTCCATGACTGTCTGCCACTGAGAGGAGTACTCACCCGCGATCGCCGCAGCGTAAGAGCGCGGGGTAGGAATGTCAAGTGCATCCGGGTCTCCTTCAGGGCAAAGCAGCATGGATGCAAAACGAGGTAAAGCGACCGTTAGACACTCGAGCTCAAACTGCCTGTCCTCAAGAACGTCACTTCTAAGGGCAGGCTCACCCCCGACGGACGGAGGACAGACAGACTCAGACTTAGTAACAAGACTCGCAACGTAGTCGAGACGACTCCTAGCTGCAAAGTGGACTAGCTCAGTGACTAGGGCAAACGCAGCAGTAGACTCAAACTCAGGGTCAGTGACGACAGTAGCGAGGAGACGAGTGACAGTAGGACTGTCAGCACGAGCAAAGTCGGACTCTGGGTCAGGAATGTGCGGAAGAGAGGACGCGGGAGGCTCAGGCAGGACAACACGCTGTGGAACAGAGGAAGGACGAAGTGCCATACCGTGAGTGCCTGGGACAGCAGGAGGACAAGGACGGGCGACACGACGAGCATGAACAGGTGTGGAAGCACGAGTCTCAGGCTCACGACGCTCAGTCAGGGACTGAGTCACCTCAGTGTGAGGAGCAGGAGCAGGCAACGGGGAGCCAGGTAGAAGCTGTGGCTGAGAGTGGTCTGTCGTGTTAGAATTGTATTTTAACTGCATGTAGTTCTAGCCATAGTGTAGTTATCATAAATTCTTGCTTGGTGGTGTACCCACCTCTCCTACCCTATTTCTACTCCACTTTCTATAGTGAAACCCCTTCTCCTTCTCAACTCCCTCGATAGTCCATGCCTAGCTTCACACCCTAGCCATGGCTACTAAGCTTGCTCCTCACTATTATGCTATTAATTTCGACATGTCGGTGGATACAGGAGAGGTGGAGTGAGGCCAGTGGAAGATGGGAGACTAAGAACCTGGTGAAGGACCGAGTCAGGCGGCGACAGGGACGACTGCGGCTGCGGGTAGAAAAACGGTCGGCGCGGGGCAGTACCAGCAGCTCCAGCTCCTCCATCACCAGCAGCACCACCTGCTCCGGCAGCTCCAGCACCTCTAGTACGAGCACCTCCAGGACCAGCAGCTCCAGCACCTCCAGTACCTCCAGTACCTCCAGCTCCAGCACCTCCAGCACCAGAAGTACCTCCAGCACCTCCAGTGCCAGCAACTCCAGTAACACCTCCAGCACCAGCAGCACCACCCGCTCCGGCAGCTCCAGCACCTCTAGTACGAGCACCTCCAGGACCAGCACCTCTAGGACCAGCAGCTACAGCACCTCCTGTACCTCCAGCTACAGCACCTCTAGCACCAGTAGCACCTCCAGTGCCTCCAGTACCAGTAGCACCTCTAGCACCTGCAGCACAGCACCTCTAGCACCAGCAGCAACACCAGCTCCGACAGCTCCAGCACCTCCACTACGAGCACCTCCAGGACCAGCAGCTCCAGCACCTCCATTACCTCCAGCTCAAGCACCTCCAGCACGTGGTTTGAGGAGGTCGGGATTGGCCAAACGACACGTGCAGGTGAGTCCTTGTCGCTTTGTGTGCTTTCAGATGACTAGGCAGCATCAAATCCACTGCCGTAACATCGCTACTGTTCATTCTTCTCGTGAACTGCAGTGAACTTGAAGAATCCCCCCCCTGAAGTGATCCTGAAGTGGATCGTCGAGTCATGGGCTGATGTGCAAGAGGAGTTGGTGAAGAAATCACTCCTCACCTGCGGCATCTCCAGTGCAGAAGACAAAGAGCGAGGATCATCTGATCCTCGCTCACCTGCGGGACAAGGCGGAAGTGGAGGTGCTGGAGGATGTGCTTGAGCAGGAGGAGGACAGTGCGCACCCCAACCCGTTCTACGAAGACCCCTCGCGCGCCCCTGAGCCCCCCGCCACCAAGGACGACAAGGCAGAGGACGAGGAGGAAGGGCTTGCAGGGGAGGAGGATATGGTGGATGCCGCTGCCGAGGAAGGGGATGGGATGGCTCCGAACGAGGAGGGGGGTGAGGCAGATGCAGAGATGGGAGGTGCGGATGAGTGGAGCGAGGATGGAGACGACTGGTGGGCAGCAGGCCGCTATGAGGGAGAGGAAGTGGAGGAGTGGGTTGCGGGCGAGGACGACTGACCATTTTGATGTGTTTCTCAACCCATGTTGCCCTTGGTGTCAAACGTGCTAACTGTGAATATGTTGCATTGGTGTCATGCTTGTCTTGCTACTGAACCACTTGAAAATGCATCTTATTCCATAAAAAACACATGTCAACCACAGTGGGGGGGTCTAGTAATGTTTACCCCTCTAGGGGGGGGTATAGTGAAAACCTGCCAAAATAAAAGACCCACCCCCGTAATACAGACCTGCGGGTCTTGTATTCCGGGGGGTCTACTATCCGGGAGCTTACGGTAGGTACGTTCGCCTAGGTATAAATGCCATTGCAATGCTTTCTATTATTAACACACTTCAAACCTTTTCAGCACAGTTTAATCAATTATTTATTCCATTAAAAACTTCCGCTACGCAATACCACAAGTCTATACCAATCCAAGAGTGTTACGATCCTAAGGCAATTTCTCAGCCCAACACTGTTCACTAAAACTAGTCCCTAGACAGAGCATGGCACCAGAATGTAACACATCTCCCACCACCTACGTTTCTAGAGAGAGAGGTTCAAATTGACCTGGCGGCTCTGGTCCTTAGATGTCCTCAAGTCAGCAAGACGCTGTGTGAGACCTGCAGCACCATCAGCACCCCCCTCTGCCCCACACTGCGCATCAAACTGCGCTGTCAGCCGCTGCACTACGCCTCCTCCACTCCCCCTCGCACCTCCCCCCCTCGCCCTCGCCACACGCCCCTGCTGTTCATCCCTATCCACATGAAACGACTCCTCCCTTTTCAGGCGTCTGCGCGGCGAGTCGCCAGGCGAAGGGGACGGGGAGGGGGAGGGCGATGCAATAAAGTTCCCCAGCAGCATCATTCCCTCCCCCTGAGCCTGAGGGGTCGCTTGCGCCACTGCTTGTGCTGCTGTCCCCTCTTGACTGGCCCCACCAGCAGCACTGAGAGTAGAGAAGTGATGCGTGTGGGGAGTAGTTGCCGCTCTGGTGCAGTGTGTTGTGGTAACCGCATGCGAAGCGGGTAACACAATTGTTGTGTGGAATGTGGAGGGAACGGGAGGGGCGGGAGCAGTAGCAGCAGTAACAGCATGCGAACACACTTGCTGTTGCTGTTGCTGCTGCTGCTGCTGCTGCTGCTGCTGCTGCTGCTGCTGTTGCTGCTGCTGCTGCTGCTGCTGCTGCTGCTGTTGTTGCTGCTGCTGCTGCTGTTGTTGTTGCTGCTGCTGCTGTTGTTGTTGCTGCTGCTGCTGTTGTTGCTGCTGCTGCTGTTGCTGCCATTGTTGCTGCTGTTGTTGTTGCTGCCACTGCTGTTGCTGATGCTGCTGCTGCTGCCACTGCTGTTGCTGCTGCTGCTGCCACTGCTGTTGTTGCTGGTACTGCCACTGATGCTGCTGCTGCTGGCAGGGCAGGGAGGCATGTGGGCAGCAGGGAGCAGCAGTGTGTTGCCGGCACGGAGCAGCAGGCGAGCAAGTTACCCCTGCAGGTGCCACAGCAGACCACGCAGGCTGGGCGCCCTGCTGCAGGTGGGGGGAAGGAGTGCATTGCTGCACTGGCGATGCGGACGGCTGTAGCTGAAGCGGTAGCGGTCCCCGATGTAGCGGTGATGGTTGTAGCGGGGATGGTTGTAGCGGGGACGGTTGTAGTGTGGATGGTTGTAGCGGGGACGGTTGTAGCGGGGACGGTTGTAGCGGGGACGGTTGTAGCGGGGACAGCGACGCCTGCTGCTGCTGGGACGGCTGTAGCTGCGGGGAGGCCTGCAGCATGGGCGGCCGTTTGGACTGAACGGGGGAGGGGGAGACGGCGGCGCAGAGGGGGAGGTGAGGGAGGGGGGCGCACGGGGGAGAGACGGAGAGAATGTGGGTGGAGGAGGTGGAGGAGGAGGGGTAGGGAGGGGTGGAGAAGGAACAGGCGGGGCTGCTGGTGTGAGTGTGGGGTGGCGCTTGCAGTGAGGAGGGCAGGCGGAGAAGGGGAGATGGGGGTGCGAGGGACTGCTGTCCTGCTGAAGCTTGCTGGCTCACCACCACCCCTTGCTGACTCACCACTCCGTGCTGAGACGCCATTCCGTGCTGAGTCAGCATGTCCGGCTGGTAGTGAACGGCAATCGCCGTGCCGCCAGTGCACCCCGCAGCGCCACTGCAAGGTGCGGGCAACGAAGCAGGGGGGCAGACGGGCGCAGGTGAGGGCAGAGGGGCGAAGGCGGAGGGGGGAGGATTGGGGTGGGGCTGCTGCTGTTGCTGCTGCTGGGGCTGGTGTTGGGGGTGGGGGTAGTGCTGGTGTTGGTACTGCTGGTGCTGGGGGTGGTGGACGGGGCAGGTGCAGCTGGGAGGGACAGGTGATGCCTGAGTCGGCATGGGCATGGTTTGGGGCGGCATGGGCATGGTTTGGGGCGGCATCTGCATGTATTGGGGCGGGGTGACGGCGTGCCGGGGCGGCATGGGTGGGCGCTGGGAATCCATGGGCGCAGCAGGTGAAGCAGCAGCAGCGCCAAGAGCAGCAGAAGGAGCAGCAGACCGGATGGCAGCAGCAGCAGGAGCGGGAGCGGCAGGAGGGGGAGGGTAGCGGTGGAAGGAGGAGGAGGAGGCGGTCAAGGGGCGGAAGGTTGATGCAGAGGCTGGCTTGGAAGGCTCGGGGTTGCTTCCACGGCTGCTGGCTGCAAAGGCGGGTGGCGGCAGCATGAAGTTTCCTGGAGGGTGCAATGGGGAGGGCTGTGCAGGTGAGGCGGTGTGCTGTTGATGCTGTTGCTGCTGCTGGTTCTGCTCCTGCTGCTGCCATTGCGCTTGTTGCTGCTGTTGCTGCTGTTGGTGGTGCTGCTGCTGCTGCTCCCATTTTTGTTGCTGTGCCTGCCAATGCTGCTGCTGCTGCTGCTGCTGCTGAAGGGGGCCGACAGGCGCGGCGGGGGCTCCGGCGGGAGAGGGGCGGTGGGCGGGCGGCAGAGTCAAGAGGGAGGGGGAGGAGGATAAGAGGGAGGACGTGGAGGGGCCAGGGGAGGCCAGGCCCGGACTGGGCGGCATCGGTTGTTGCGTTGTGGGGCTGAAGCGGTACCCCTGTGCTGCTTGCTGCTGCGGTTGGTACTGCTGCTGCTGCTGCTGCTGCTGCTGCTGCTGCTGCTGCTGCTGCTGCTGCTGCTGCTGCTGCTGCTGCTGCTGCTGCTGCTGCTGCTGCTGCTGCTGCTGCTGCTGCTGCTGCTGCTGCTGCTGCGGTTGTTGTGGAGAGAGGAAGCGAGGAGGCGTCTGGGTGGGCTGCGACTGCACGTGGTGAGCAGGGCTGCACGCGTGCGCCGTGTTACCAGTTACATGGTTATCAGCGCCGCTCATAACAGGTGAGTTGAGAGCAGGAGGGGCAGAGGCAGCAGGGTGAGTAACAGCAGCAGGAGCACAAGCAGCTGGAGCAGCAGGAGCAGGACCGGGTGGGGCGGGGGAAGCGGTGAGCGGAGGTGAGATGGGGGACGGGCCGGCACTAGCGGGATGGGATTCTGCAGACGCGGCAGAGGAGCTCGCAGCGCCGGCTGTAGCAGCGCCGGCTGTAGCAGCGCCGGCTGTAGCAGCATTGGCCGCCGCAGCAGCGAGCACGTTGGGCGGCACGGAGATGTTGGGCGGCAGCTGGGCGGGCGTGGTGGCGTATGTGAAGACCTCGCGCTGCAGCCTGGGCGGCAGGCCGTGCGTGTGCTGGCCGCTGTACGTGACGCGCATGTCCAGCCCCCACCGGATGAGGAAGTCGATCGTCTTCTTCGCCGCGCACCCCGCGCTCCGCCGCGCGCACCGGTAGTACGCCCTGTGGATGGGGAGAGGAAATGGGGAATAAGGGAAGCAGAGGGTGAGAGGCAGCAGAGAAGGGGTGTACACGGTGCAGCGTGGTGCAGCGTGGTGCAGCACATCACATTGCCCTTATCCATCCGAGATACTGACACATGCCGCTCACACCCACACCACTCGCCCCGCACGTTCACCTGCAGTATCCGGCGTCGACGAGGTTCTTCTGCCCGTACTTGTGCCAGTGCTGCCCGTCGTCCGGAATGTAACCCGCTTTCGACAGCCGCTTGTAACGGTACCGCTTCTTCTTGCCGCACGCGCTGCCATCCGCGGCGGTCACCCCACCAACCGCCTCCTCGCCTTCCTCCTCGACCTCCTCCCCCTCCGCCTCGTCCCCTTCCTCCAACCCCGCGCCTCCGCTCTCCCCCGACTTGTCAGCCACGTCAGCAGCGGGACAGCCGGCGGTCGCGTTGACCGTCGAGTCAACGGGCGGCGCGATCGCCCACGGGAGGCGGGGCGGAAGCTCAGAGGGTTGGCGCACAGCAGCAGCCGCATGCGCAGGCCCGTGAAGCACGGCGGCGGGCGGGGAGGCGGGAGCAAGGCGCGGCGAGATGCCGCCGCCGCCGCCGCCGCGGTTGTTCGTCTCCGCAAGCTGCGCCAGTGGCGGTTTTTCGCCGTGATCGGCGCTCCCGCGGGGTCTCTTCGCGGCGGATTCCGCGGATCTCGTCGAGTCGGCTTTGCTCTCCGTTCCCTCGGGCGGCACCGCCGCCGCATCGCCGCCAGTGCGGCATTCGCCGGCATCGGCGCTGGCGTTCAGCTTCCGCTTCTCCGCGTGCGAGCATTCCCCGCGAAATTGTTGCGCGCCATCATCCCTGCGCTCCGCCAAGTCCGCGGAGCTCTTCCCCGCGGAGTCCTGCGGGGGAAGGTGAGCGCCACCGTCCAGCGCGCGTAGATCGTCCGCGATGGGCGCAGCGGCGGTCATGGCGCATGTGCGGGGGACGAGCGCCGCGGAAGGCCCCTCGCCGGGGGCTGCGGCGCGCGAAAGGGCGCGAAACGGCAGCGAGTAGGGGCGTCGCGGCGTGGAGCGCGGCAAAGCAAGCGAATCCGATGGAATGGACGACGCTGATAGCGTCAGCAACATGGCAGGGCCGGCGAGGCACCGTGACGGTCCGATACGAAGATCCGGAGTGCGACGCGGCACGGTGGGGATTCGTAATTCGTTAGTGTGCTGCGATCAAGCGCAGCGAGTCGACGGGATTCGAGATGATGCGGCGGTGAGGCGACGACGAAGTGACACTTAGGGATTGCGACGATGGTGGTCGGAAAGGCGAGAAGTAGAAGTGCGTTTATCAACGCCAAGTATGAGGGAGTCTAGTGCGGTCTACTAACACAACTAGCACACTACGTGTGCGTACGAACCGTATTAGCGGCTGTTTTTGGAGCGTTAGCGTGGCAAATGGCGGCCTTTGCATTCCTCCTGTCCCGCGCGCCCATTCTCGCTGCTGTGCTGCTGCGAGTGCGCGGAGCATCGTGCGGTGGCGTGTGGTAGCAGGGGCAGTCAAGGTGAATCAAAAACCAGAAATGGGGCACGGCCTGCCAGATGACACCTCAAGCTTGCGCATCAAGCTGGGACCGAGATGCAACGCAGAGACGAGTCGAGGAACAGAAGAGCTGCAGCACTAGCGGACAGGAAATCTAGGATGAAGGGTGGGTGGATTCCGTTCCGCTCACTGTTCCCAATATCATACCTCACCCCGCACAACCGAACCAATACCTGCTGTTTCCTTCTCCCCTTTTCCGTCTGTACTTGTCCCGAATTGCCATGTAGGGATTCCGGATGCACGGAGGTGTGTCGAGTCAAGTCCGATCCTCCCGCACACCCTGTTCCCACCGTCGCTTATCGGGAAAGCTTTCTGTCAAACAAGGACTGGCGGATGAGAGGCATCAACGGTGAGGCGAGCGGAGCGGAGAGGCGCACAGCAGCCCTGCGAAACTGGTGGTGGTGGCGTGGAGCCCACGTGCCGCGAACAAATCCGCCAGGGCAGGTTGCGGAAGGGGACGCATCGCGCATGGAGGCGGCTCGTTGGAGGGCTTATTCTTGGAGAGGCGGTACATTATACTTTCATGATTTCCCAAAAGCAATTAGCCTCAGGGCTAGACCTCATGACTACGTAAACATAACCTTTTATTTAACGATACCGCACTTACCATCTCTTTGCAAGATCATACATGGGGCCAGCATGAAATCAGGGCAGGACTCGCCAGTATCCCTAATCCGCATCGCGTTGTATCTTGTAAATTTATAGACCCAGCGACGGTGCGCCTTGTCGAGCGCGTGGAGCACTTGCGGTAACAAATTTTTTACTTCCAGCGTGGATTTGGAGAATGTGATTGGTGTAGAGCAAGATTTGGCTGGAATACGTGAGGGGGTGCATGCACGATTTTGTTTGAATGGGTGGGCGAGCTCCCCCTGCATTGCATTGCCAAGTTGCCTCCCGTACAGTGCAGTTCTTTGCGAAGTATCCAAGCATATTTCTACGAATCATCGCAGAAGCACCCGAATCCAGAGTTCGCGTTTCGCACAGCCTGGGAGAATAAAGTTAACTGTACATCGGAACTTAACGATAAGTAGCTCTAAAAGATACACATACAATCCCTAGAAGGACAATCTATTGAGTCAGTCAGCTATTTACAGAGTTGCAGCAGGCAGTTGGCATGGTGCAAAAATCATGACAGAAGGGGAGCCACCCAATTTGTGTGTACATTTGATTTCATAGGATTCCCGGAACCCCTGAGCAGGTGCAACATATTAGTGCTAATCAAGTACCTACGAAATTGTTTATACAGGGCTGAAACTGTGCAGCAAAGTCACTGCTATATGAGGGCATCCCATGATTAGGGTCATTCTGTATCCAGTGCACAGATTAATTACTCCACCCAAAAAAGTTTTGCTCGTCTTCACACCCAAACAGTCCCAGCACCAGAGTCCTGCAGTGAGGGCAAATCTCTCCACGGCAGCCGCGAAGCCAACATAGTTGTTAGTGGTCGACACATGGTCTGCCACTGCCTGGACTGAAGGGCCAGCATTTGCCATTGCCACACCCAAACCAACCATCTGGAGCATCTCAATGTCATTTTCTCCTGCCAGATACACATTCACACACACTTTGACACACATAGAGTCACCAACACTGGCATACACACAAACTCACTCTACGTCATACTCACATTCACCCACTTGTACTCACACACACACACACACACACACACACACACACACACACACACACACACACACACACACACACACACACACACACACACACACCACTTAAAAATACACCCACACACACCCACCCACTTACGCACAGACTCACATACACTCATACTCACACTCACTCACTAACTCAGACTCACAGTCTACTCAACTTACCAAGGAATCTCAACCCCGTTCTCTCGTCCTTTCTTGAACTCAGCCACACAAACTCAGCCACACAAACTCAGCCCCTTTTCTATCACTCACATGCAAAGGGTTTCAGCCCCATTCCCTCTCACTCACAACCCCGAGGCGTTTCAACCCCCTTCGCTCTCAGTCCCCCACCCAAGGGATTTCAGCCCCCTTCCCTCTCAGTCACCCACCCAAATGCGTTTCAGCTCCCTTCCCTCTTACTCGTCCACCCACGGGCTTTCAGGCCACTTCCCTCACTCGCCCACCCACGGGGTTTCAGCTCCCCTCCCTCCCACTCACCCAACAATGGGGTTTCATCCCCCAAGGGGTTTCAGCCCCATTCAAGCTCGCTCACTCACCCACCCAGCCCATCCCCACCTTCACCTGCCAGCAGTAGGAGCAGCAGAAAGCCCATTCCCTCAAGGAATCAGGCCCCCACCATCGCCCCTGACTCAACTCACCCTGGGGTTTCGTTTCAGCCCCTTTTGTCCTCGCCCTCTCACTCCACTTACCCTGGGGGATTCAGCCCCCAACCATTGCCCCTCACTCAACTTACACTGGGGTTTCGTGTCAGCCCCCCTTTGCCCTCGCCCTCTCACTCCACTTACCCTGGGGGATTCAGCCCCCCACCATTGCCCTTTGTTCAACTCTCCTTGGGGTTTCAGGCCCCTCTCACCAACCAAGGGGTTTCAGGCCCCACTCACCCACCCAAGGGGATTCAGCCCCCACTCACCACCCAAGGGGTTTCAGGCCCCTTCTCTCTCACTCACCCACCCAGCCCATCCCACCTTACCTGCCAGCAGTAGGAGCAGCAGAGAGCTCACTTCCTAGAGGAAACAACACCCCCAGAGGCGGTGCCTTGTGGGGCGAGGTGTGGTAGTGGAAAATTGCTTCCAGCCCAAGACTCAAATCCCACCCCTGACGTAGCCAGAGCTGACGCGAACCAGAGCCGCCGGCCGGTCGGCTCTGACGGTGTCCATTAGGCCTTGCACGTCAGATCGGTTACTTGAGCACCGAGTGCCGTGCCGCGCAGATTCCACCCACCACACCCCACCACCACAACGCACAACCCCAGAAGGTGCTGTCCCTAAGGTAGTGAGCTGCCCACTCACTCCCATGCTTCCCACCCACCCACCCACCCCACACTTCACCCCCATGCCTCCTTACCTCTACCTACCTCTACCTACCAGAGCCATGCAGAGCGCCATGACGCCTTAGGCTGCTGGGAAGGGGGTGGGGGAAGGCAGGGGGGGATGAACGGAAGGAGGAAACTCCACTGTGGTCCAGGCAGGGTGCTGTTGGGAGGGAAGGGAAAAGGGAGAGAGGAGGAGAACAGTGAGAGGGTGGGCTTCACTCTCCTGTCCTTGCTCCAGTGCTCCCACTCTCAGGCTGCAAAAAACACAAGGGGGGGAGGGGGAAGAGAGAGAGGAGAGAATCAGACTACCATACCTCACCTGATACCTTACCTCACCTGTTACCGTACCATACCTGATACCACACCTCCCCACAGCTTCAGCTAGCCTAGCCTGCCCCCTAACCCCCCACCCCCACCACCGCTGCTACTGCTGCTGCCGCTGCTGCTTCTGCTTCTGCAACTGCTGCTGCCGGTCTGCTACTCTGCTTCCTCTTCTGCAATCTTCTCTTGTTGCCAAGCCACCTGGTAGTGGGCAGAAAGTGGGGGGGGGGGGGCGAGGGGGGGGGACGGGAGAGGAGGGGCAGGAGGAGCGAGGAAGTTGGAAACAAGGAAACACTCAAGTAAACAGAAGAACACTAGAGTGGACAGAAACGAGAATGCAGAATTGAAGAGGGAAATAAGGCATCCGTAGCCGAGTGGAGTTATCCCCTCCTCCCCTCCCACCACTGCCACCTGCACGGCCACAGGAGAGAGACGTGAGGGAGTGGCGGTGTTGACCCCCACTCCCCTCCCCTCCACCTGCAATGGCCCACAGAGAAAAAGTGAGTGACTGGAGGAGAGGCGAGGGGGTGAAGGAGGAGATGCACGATCAGAAGAAGCAGAGGGGAAGGGGCCACTGGTACAACCTCAAATACAAGCCACAGACCCAAGGGGGAAATATACCTAGGAAGGCTTAACCTGAGAGTATACCTGCTGTACCAGGGGGGATCTACCTTAGAAAAAACGGGTCTGTGGCTTGAAGCTTTGGCTGAACCAGAGGCTTGCGTTTGAAGCGAGAAGAAACAGGAGATGCAGCAAAGAACTCAAGAGAGAACGGGAGTAGAGAGGCATGGCAGGAACTTAGCTGCCGGTGGGTTGGGTGGAGAGCAGCTGCTGCCTGTGCTCTCCATGTCCCCCGCCACTGCCACTCCCGGTCTGCTACTCTGCTTCCCCTGCTGCGGCCGCTGCCCCTCCCCTCCCCTAAGCTGATGCCCTGCTGCTTTCCCCCCTGCTGCCCCCTGCTGCCCGGCTGCCGCGCTGCTACAGCCTTCAATGCTGGGAGGGGAGACGGAGGGAGGCAGGGGATCAAGAGACAGCTGTGAGAACAAGAAAGAGGCTCACCTTGTTCCAGACGACCCCATCCCGATACTCTCCCAATCCATCCCAGCCGAGTGGAGTGCTGCCCCCTCCCCTCCCACCACTGCCACCTGCACCACCAGCTGCCTCCCTCCCTCCGCAGCAGCCGTCCTCCAGGTGCCTCCTCCCTGCACGGCCACAGGGGAGGGGCGTGAGGGAGCGTCGGTGTTGACCCCACACCCCTCCCCGCCACCTGCAATGTGCACACACGTCAGAGCGTGGTGGTGGGAGCAATTTGAATGGGAGACTGTGACTTGAAATCCAGCGCAAGAGAAGGGAGGAGGAGCCACTGATGGAGGCACGGCCACAAGCTGCAGACCCAAGGGCACCTGAAAAAAAACCTGAGGGGTGTACCTGCACCTGAAGGGGTTACCTGCACCTGAGAGGGTTACCTGAAATGGAGGGGTCTGTGGCATGTGTACCGCGCTCAACCAGTGGCATTGTTTCAAAGGGAAGGCCGAAAGCACAGCCGGCAAACTAAATGGCAGCAACAAAGCAACAAGCCATGATGAGGCGGGCAAGGGTGAGGGCATGGAAGTGGGTGACTTAGCTGATAGCGTGAGGGCGAGCTCAAGGCAGCTGCAGCACCACCAGCTGCCTCCCTCCGCAGCAGCCCTGCCTCCTCCCTGCACGGCCACAGGGGAGGGGCGTGAGGGAGCGTCGGTGTTGACCCCACACCCCTCCCCGCCACCTGCAATGCGCACAGACAGAGCTAGTCAGAGCGCGGTGGTGGGAGCAAGTTGAAGGGGAAACTGTGACTTGAAATCCAGCACAAGGGAAGGGAGGAGCCACTGGAGGAGGCACGGCCACAAGCTGCAGACCCAAGGGCACCTGAGTAAAAACCTGAGGGGTGTACCTGCACCTGAAGGGGGTTACCTGAAGTGGAGGGGTCTGTGGCATGTGAACCGCGCTCAACCAAGGGCAGTGTTTCAAAAAGACGGTGCAGCAACAGATGAAACGAAAGAAACAGTATGGCAGGCAAGGGTGCGGGCATGGGAGAACGGGTACTTAGCTGATTGTGTGGTGCAGGCGGAAGGGACGGGTGCTTCAATGGTGAGTGGGCAGGGCGAGCGGGGAAGGACCTGCGAGGCAGAGAAGGGAGAGAGAGATAGGGAGATAGTAAGAGGCAGGTGGGAGGGAGTGACTCTTTTAAACGAGAAGACAGGCAGCAGTGTGAGTGCAAATGACGGTGCATGTGACGCCAACCACAACCCCAGAAGAGCCGCTACCAACCTGCACCTGAACCTGAACCTGAGGGGGAGTGGGCTCGAGTGGAGTGTGGTGGTAGGGGCGATACTGCAACCTCAACCGTTGATGAGGCCGGCGCTGCTGCCCCGCTGCCCGCGCTCCTGCTGCCCGCCCTGGTGCTCCCCTCGCCTGCTGCTCGCCTGCTGCCCTCCCCCTGGCTTGTGAAGGCCTGGCAGGGAAGGGAGGGGAGGGGAGGGCAGGGCGGAAAGGAAAGGCAGCCGAAAGTAAGAGGGGTTGCAATGGAGAAAAGTGCCAAACACATGTGCAACAGCAGAAACGACAGTGCATGTGACGCCAACCACAACCCCACAAGAGCCGCTACCAACCTGAACCTGCACCTGAACCTGAACCTGAATCTGAACCTGAGGGGGAGTGGGCTCGAGTGGAGTGTGGTGGCAGGGGCGATACTGCAACCTCAACCGTTGATGAGGCCGGCACTGCTGAACCGCTGCCCGCGCTCCTGCTGCCCGCTCCCCTCGCCTGCTGCTCGTGTGCTGCCCTCCCCTTGCCTTGCGCTCGCCTGGCAGGGAAAGGATGGGAGCGCGGGGAGGGGAGGGAGGAGAGGGGAGGGTCGTGAGGAACGAGGTGAAGGTAGCGGGAGAAGTGGGAGCGAGAGTGAGATGAGGAATGGAGAGTGCAGCGTGCGAGACGGCAGAAACAACAGGCAAGACAAGGGAGGGGCCACTGGAGGAGCACATCCGCAAGCCACAGACCCCCAGGGGAACCTGAGGGGGCTGTAAGGCTTTAGGGGGGCTGAACCTGTACCTGATGGGTTTACCTGCAGTGGGAGATGGGTGTCTGTTGCTTGTGAGGCGGGCCCCAACCAGTGGCGAGAATTTCAGGGAGAAACGGTGAGCAGCAAGCGAGGGAGAGTGAAGGGAGGGGAAGGAACTTAACTGGCGATTGAAGAAGCAGCGAGAGCTGATGCTGCTGCTGGTCACCCCGACGCCAACGGAGGCAAAACCGTGCAACCATTTCGCCATGCCACGAATCGCGGGCGACGATTTCGACAAACGACAACGCGCTGTCAACGATTTCGCCATGCGACGTCGCGTGGACGACGATTTCGCCATGCGACGACGCGTGGACGACAATTTCGCCATGCGACGATGTGCACACAACGATTCCGCCGCACGACGGCGCTCGGACGACGATTTCGCCATGCGACGACGCGCGGACGACGGTTTCGGCGTGCGACGACGCGCGGACAACGATCTCGCCATGCGACGACGCGCGGACGACTTCGACAGCGTCGTCAGTCGCATCTGAACGCAGACAACCCAGCAATAACGGGAAGAGACGGTTAGGGATAACGGCCGTAACGACGCAGCAATAACGACGAGTCGTAGGGACGAGAAATGCGATTGTGGAGACTTAGAGGAGCATCAGGAAAGGCACTCGTAAAAACATCTCAATCATCGTGAGTCGTACCGAATCATTTGCGGATATCGTTATGATGAGCGTGACCAGTAGCCGGAGGACGGACGAGGAACGTGAGTCGGGAAGAACAAATGCAAATCGGGAAAGCATCATCTGAGATGTGCGACAGCGAAACGTGAAATCTGATCGACGATAAAAACTCGCGGCGAACAAAAATTATTCGGAAGATCGCATTGGAAGACTAACCTTGTCGGACGAACTATTCGGACATTATTGCCTCATCGCCGTCTCGACAGCACGGGGAAGACGAATTCCCGCCGGAAAACGCAGCCAGCGAGCGACCACTAGAGAAGGCCGGTCGACGCGAGAACTAATCGTCGCAAGGAAGATAGAAATCGTCATCAGCAAGAACGAAACTAGCGTTCAGGACAGTCGCGAGCATGAAGCAAATGTAACGAAAACGTGAGAGGCTCTCTAGTCGAGAACAGATAAGTTCGCCCGTTCAGGAGAAATGAGATGGAGCAGAAAGAATGGGGGGGGGTGTGCCTGTTGGGTTGGCCGAGACCAGGATTTCCTGGAATAGAATTGGCACATTAGATGGCATGTTGAGCGCGGTTGAGATGGTTGCAAAGTGGTTTAAAATTGTTGTGTGTCTGCCTTCTCCCAGTTTCTGCTGGGCATTCGGGAATGGTTCAGCACAGCCCAGAGTTATCCCAACCAATCCCGAGGTAAACCAAGTGGCGGAGGAGGAAGCACCGCCCACAAGATTCGCCCGCAAATTTCCGCGAGCGCGCATGATTTCCAACAAACGGCCAAGTGACGAAAAGAGGTTCCGATTAACGAAATAACACTGGCGACGCAATGGTTGTTTCGCTTCTGCGTACCAAGTAGTCCACTGCTAGGAGGACAGACTGTTGCGAGACTCGTGAGTGTCGCCACAGACGGTTCCGTTTGGCTATCCGCGGGCTTGTGAATGCTTTTCCCCAAAATGCCTGACACACAACTGAGTGTGCGCGGACTCGGGGGTTTCTCGGAGCGCAGTCTCAGAAAGCGGGGCTGCTGCTCCAACGGGCTGGCTGCGGGCGGGCGCAATGCGGGGAAATTGTTCAGCAGGATGGAATCTCTGATTTGTCATCTACAATACGCCCTCGACATCATCTTGATCCAACGGACGAGATGAACCAACGCAGTACGGATCAGGTCAGCTCCGCTCAATTTTTTTACACATACGTACGTACCTTATGTACAGATATATGTTATACTACCAGTATTTGTTAACTATATGGTTGACAAGATATAAACATAGTGTTTCACATGAGATCCATCTCACTGCCATAATCGTGTCAAATCACACAAATTATTTATCTACCATTCACATTATCTCGCTTCAGTCTGTCTCCTTCGTGTGTGGACACATCAGGTGAAAGTGGATCAATGCTTCTGGCATAATAACCATACAGAAATGCCACGCTTACGCTTAGGCGAAGGATATAATTAACGGGACAGCCATATCTAACTAGTAATTCGCCAATCTAGTTACACTACACCTCCACAAATGCAATGCCTGCTGGCTGCAGCCCTGCTGACCAGTACCTACCTGTCAAGAAAGTAGGCTTAGGAGAAACTTAGGTTTTAGGAAGAGAGAGGGAGTTGGCCAAGAAAGAAGGGGCTTGCACTATAGAATGCAGTACCATATGCCTGCTGCACATGCACAACCTCCATTTGTAGCTGCTGATCAATTCCAGTATGCCTGGAGGCTGCTCCTGCTTTACCCCTGCACCACTAGAGTCTACACACAGACCTTGCTGTCCCCATTATGGTAGCCTGCCCCTTCAGCAATGCCCCCTCCTGACTTCCTGCTTGCTGCCCTTGCTGTACCACTGCCGGTAGTTGTTAAGGCTGCACCCCACTTCCATGGAAAGCAGAAATGCTTAAGTGGAAGAACTTTGTCATAAACAACACTCCGGTTAGAAGCTCATAATCATACGCTTCACTTCAACAACAAAACGCTACATACAATGTGGGAAACACCATACAGCTAAAGCTACAGTCTCCGTAGGCTCTTCTTTCTCAAATCAGCCTTCTTGTCCGTCCCACCCCGGCTCGTGTTCTCTCCCTTCCCTTTAGCCTTCACCACACCACCACCCGTGCCTGATGCTGCCACAGGCTCCTCCACAGCTGCTGCTGCTGAACCATTTCCTGCCTTTGCCTGCAGTCTTGAGTCAGCGTTTGCAAGTGACCGATTGGTTGCGAGGGGTGTGTGATGGGCTGGAGAAATACCGGCACTCCCAGCTGGATTTTTGCCACTGGTAGGATCAACAGACGAGGCAGCAATGGAAGTGATGGGAGGAGGGCTTGGTGGAGTGCTGCTGCTGGAGTCTTGAGAAGTCACTGCCGTGTCAGTGCCAGTGGCAGCAGCACCAGGAGCAGAGGGAGTTGGAGCGGCATGGGGGGTGGCAGCAGCAGCTGGAGGGGCAGCAGCACAGCCAGAGTCTGAAAGTAGGTCAGCTGCTGTGGCCGACTGTGTGCATGCTCTCTGCTGGTTCTTGCTGGGGTGCTGGGTATCTGCTTCCTGCCGTGCCTGCTCATGCTGCTGCTGCTGTTGCGGTTGCGGCTGCTGAGCTTGCTGCTTTGATTTTCCGGCAGAAGTCAGGAAGGAGGAGGCGGCAGGGGCGGCATGGATGGATGTGAAGAGGCGGGCATGGCGGGCATACGCGTTATAGTCCTCCAGAAGCAGCTTTCCAGCATCCTCGTTAAGTGCGGACTCGGGATAAGGTTCAATCAGCAGGCAGCGCACCACCTGCATGAGCTCAAACAAGATCGAAAGGAGTATGAAGGAAAGCAGTAGAGGATATGCACCAATAAAATCAGGAGCAATCTTGAGAATCTCAACAAATTAGACAATCACTGGAGCCCTCTATCACGTCAGAAAAACTCTGAAGGGAGCCCACATTTAATCCACCGTGTTGCCAACCCAACAGAAGCAAACATCAACCATAGTCAAATAAAACCAGACCAGATCAGAATCATCCCAGCGCCTGAGTGTGGCACGTGTCTGAGCCCGAGGGTGCCTCTCCAGTCCTTCTCGAGCTCAAGTCGAAACATAGAAGATCAAACCAAATCAAATGAGTTTTTTTGTCCCAGCTCACCAGCAGCACGCGCTTGAGTCCGAGGGTGGCCTTCCAGTCCTTCTTGAGCACGCTCACGCAGATCTCGCCGTTTTTGGCCACGTTGGGGTGGAAAATGCGCGTCAGGAAGAAGCCTGCAGCGAAGGGAGGGGAGAGGGGAGGGGGAGAAGAGGGGGGGAGAGTGGAGGGGGGGGGGGGGGGGGGTGGTGGGAGGGGGTTGGGGTGTGGGGTGTGTGTGGCAGGGCGATTGGATGTCGATTGGAGGGATCAAAGGAGATAAAGTGCAGGCGTTGGAGAAACCCCGCCCAAGAAGCAGCTTCAAGTGGAACAAGAGCGGGGGTTGGCTCTAGAAGGGAAGTGATCGAGGGAGATAGACAGTGGGAACGGAGGGAACGAAGGAGATAGATAGCGGGGCGGCGTTACCTTTGGGGGCGGCGTTGGGGAAGTCCCGCCCGAGCAGCAGCTTCATGCGGAACACGCCGCCCTCGTACGGCGTGCCCTCTGCGCATGATAACTCGGCACGGCGCAACGCGACGATAAGCGAGGGGGGGGGGGGGGAGGGGAAGAGGGGGGAAGGGGGAGGGGGAAGGTGGGAAAGGGGGAAGGTGGTTGGGGGGAAGGTTGGCGAAATGGAAGAGGAAGGAAATGGAAAGGCGATAAAGATGACCTGAGAGCAAGAACGTGCGTAACGCAAGACATTTTGACCGAAATAAATGAGTGGCATACGCTGCAGCCCGGCAGCTTGTTAACTCACTCGCTAACCGGCGTGGGCTCACCAGGGCCGTCGATCTCGGCATGGACGGTTGCGATGCTGTCGTCGTGGACGGTCACCCGGATGCCATCCAGCACGCTCTGCTGCAGCGCCTTCAGCTCCCGCGCCACCTCGCGCGCCACGCGCGCGGGGAGGGATGCGCCAATGGCGCTTGCCTGGAAGGAGTGGGCGAAACGGGGGACAGGGAGCAGGGTGCAGGCGAGAGGGGTTCGGCGGTAGGGGGCGAGGTGCGGAGAAAGTGGAGAAGGGCGGGAAGGGGGAGGGGAAGACGGGGCGCGAAGTGGGAAGATTGGTCTGTGGGGCATTTGGAGGCGGGGGAGGGGGAAGGGAGGGATGGGGAGGGGAGGGAAGTCGGCGGCGAATGGACGCGGAGCAGCTTCCGCACCACCTGGCGCGGAATAAGCGGAATCGACGGTTCGTTTCACTCACCATCCGTTCACCCGTCTCGAGACGGCAAAAGAGCCTGGCGTTGCTCGGTTAGACCCAGGATGTAAGGGTGGATGGAGGTTCGGATAAACGTTCGGATGGAGGTTCGGATAGAGGTTTGGAAGGAAGGCTGGGTGGACCCTCTTCAATCGAAGACTCACTACTTGCTAGCCGAAGGAAGACCTGTCCGCCTATCTCATCCTAGTGTATTAGGACCAGTAGCTGTACTACACATATTAAGCGCGTCGACTCTTAACGAGGATAACACCAGGCTGCTGATAGCGCGTCTGGTGTGCGCTGCCGTTGTACTTTCGTGCTACGGGCTTGTCGCGTTCCTACTTTACCGCGTCTGAGGTGATTCACATTCCGAGGTGTACCGTAGCGCGATAGGCGCTCAGCGTATTTCTAAGCTTCTTGGCTGTTTTGCTAATGACTACAAGATTGCGCGCGGGAGAGCGAGAGCGAGCAGAGTGGTGGTGGTGTTACGATGGAGGAAGGAGAAGGCACGAGTGCCGTTTATTGCCGCGATGAGGCGAGTTGGGTAGAGTCAAGGGAGCGACAGGAAGAAGCAAGGGTACAGGCAGGGGAGCGTGCTAGCTGATCGACTCGAGGCGCGCCCAGGGTGGTCGTCGTCGTCACGGCGCAACAACCTTGCCCACGCCACACAAACGGAAGCTAGGTAAGCACCGAGCCTGTGGGGACGTCATGGGGGAAGGAGCAAGGGGAAATAATGAAGGTTGCGCCTCTCGTAATTGAGTGAAGACGGAGGGTGGAGGAAATAGGGGCGCAATTTTGAAGCTGGCGGACGCATTTTTGCGGTGGTTGCGGGTTGCGGGGATTGGTTTGGCTCGGTGATATCGAGGCGCGGATTATGCGGTTCGATTAGGACGGCTCGCGTTCTCCAACCAGTGCCTGCGATTGCATCACTTTCTTAACAAGAAACATGGATTTTAGAGAGGAGAATGTGACTGCACGAGGATCTGAACTCAACACCGCTTAATTCTCCTACCGGAGAGTGCAATATCAGGCACAGAATCATCAATCTGGAGGAACCGAAACTTCACGAGGAATGTTTACAAGTGTATACGCACAGTAAATATATTGCTGCGTGTTCCGTTCGCCAATATCTTGACAAACAGAAACCAACCCCAAGAACAGTACAGTCAACCAATCCCAATGCCACCAGCAGGTCAAGCCCCAGTGGGAATCAAAGAGATCACCCACAAACTGCCAGTCAGCCACTCTCCAGTAGGAACCAAATGCGGAGGCGGCACCAGACCAAATAGTGGCTAGGCTGGAGTTTGGCTTTGTCATGACTTGACCAGAGGACTGAAACAGCTTAGTTGGTAGGCTGTCGTTCCTAAAGCTTGTCATCACGTGATGGTACACGTAGCATTCCCTCTGATTCCACGGAGGACACAAATAAGAAGTCCAGTACGGACAATATTACAAATCATGATGTCTGTTCGTTAGGAATCTGAGAAACCTAGTCAGTAACGCTCGCAAGGCGCGTGAATACAACTGCGTGCAGATTCTTGACCGTTAGCATGATACTTTCCGGGGCGAATGTGCGCCTTTCGCGGAAACTGACATACAGGAATCTTTAATCGCACGACCATGACATGAACCGAAATGATACCGCATCGCATGCCGTAACACGACATTTTACCACAACGAATGGCATGATACAGGTCCAAACGACATGATATCATCCGAAATGCAATGACTTGACGGAACATGGGACCACGACGCAGCATGGCACGACGGCGGAACATAACACGGCACGATACATAAAGCCGTTGATCCCGTCCAATCGCAAGCCTCGCTGGGCCAGCCATGGCGCTGTCGTTCTTCCGAGGGTTCTTCAAGGGAGGGCTGGTGGAGGAGGACTTAGACGCGTGCTACCCTGTGCGCCAGGACGTGCAGGTCGGCACCGTCAGCAAGTTTCGACCGCGGGTGAGTTGAGTTCCACATTCCAGTGAGTCAGGGAACAAATAGTCCTCGAGAACTTTACAGAGTCAGGGCTGGTGGAGGAGGACTTAGACGCGTGCTACCTCGTGCGCCAGGACGTGCAGGTCGGCACCGTCAGCAAGTTCCGACCGCGGGTTAGTCAGGGAACAGGTAGCCTTGGGAGAAATTTTCAGGGACACTCCGTACCCCGTGTGCCAGGAGCGTCAAGATGTGCCAGTCGGCACCGTCAGCAACTTTCGATCGCATCCACAGGCTTTGATACTGGGTGAGTCAGCGAGCGAGCGAGCACTGCCTTCATCGTGTCCTTCCGTAGTTGATCTTCCACCTCTCGCCTTTGCGACCAACTATGCTGTCATATCGCTACCCTTGGCAACCAAGAGCCCTCATCTATCACTCCCCTCTTACACCCCTCGTCCTGCACCCCTCCTCCCGCTCCCCCTCACGGCATGGTGTGGCATGTTCCACTCTCTGATGGCATGGCATGGCATGGCATGGCATGGCATGGCATGGCATGGCATGGACGGTCTGTGTAATGCAGGCGAGCAAGCGGCTATCAGAGGACAAGTGGAACGACATGTTTGACGCGGAGGGGCGCATGGTCAACCTCGAGGCTGCCCTCCGCCTCATACAACAAGGGGTACGTGCCATGCTGAAGGGTATGTGCCATGCTGAGGGGTATGTATGTGCCATGCCGAGGGGGATGTGTCCTGCTGAGGGGGATGTGTCATGCAGGCAGGGGTATGGGAGTACTTGGTAGGGCTGGTCAACTCAGCAGCCACAATTGCCTAGTGCGGCGGCGAGGTCAGAGGCATGCGTGGAGGAGAGGCCGATGCTTCTCTGCTGTTAACCTTTCCCCCCCTCTCATTCCTTCTTTCAACCCTTTCCTCCTTCAATTCCCTCCGCCCCCATTTTTTCCCCGTCTGATTACCATCCCAGGGCTGTGAGCCGGGCATTTGGCCAGAGGTATGGGAGTACCTGCTGGGGCTGGTCAGCCCTGCAGCCAGGAGCGCCGAGCGTGGCGAGCTGAGAGGCATGTATAGAGACACCAATGATTTGCTATCATCCCTTTCCTCCTCTCGTTTCCCCTCTGATACCTTTCCCAGGGCTGTGAGCCAGGTATCCGCCCGGAGGTGTGGGAGTACCTGCTGGGGCTGGTCAGCCCTGCAGCCACGAGTGGCGAGTGTGGCGAGCTGAGGAGCATGCGCAGGGAGGCGTATGCTGCGATGCTCAAGGAGTGCCAGCTCGTGGACCCGGTTATTGGGAGCGGATTCGTGGTCGATTTTCCCAGAGTGCAGGTGGGTGCAGAGCGGTGAAGAGCGGTGGAGAGGGGTGGAGGGGTGGAGTAGGATGGGCATGGGTGCATGATGACAGAGTAGGAAGGGGGGGGCCTACGCGGAAATGCTCAAGAAGTGCCAGCTTGTGGACCCGGTCATTGTCAGTGGCTTTGTGGTTTACTTCCCAAGAGTGCAGGTGGGTGTAGAGCGGTGAAGAGCAGTGGAGAGGGGTACAGAGGGTGGAGATGATTGCAGAGGGATGGCAGGACTGAGGCGGGGGAGGCATATTCTTCATTGCTCAGGAAGTTCTAGCTGGTATACCCAGTCAATGGCAGTGGCTTTGCGGTCGACTTTCCCAGAGTGCAGGTGAGTGCAGGACGATGGCTCCGAGGTCGATCTCCCAGACTCCTATGCCGGCCTGCTGCGCCTCGTGCCGCCCTTCCCACCCCTCTCCCCTCACGCCCCCTGTTTCGCTCCCTCTCCCCCTCCCTACCCCCTTCTCTAATGCCCTCCAATGCCAGGACGATGGCTCTGAGGTTTATCTCCCAGACTCCAATGCCGGCCCGCTGCACCTGGTGCCGTCCATCTCCCCCCTCTCCCCTCACGCCCCCTGTTTCCCTCTCTCTCCCCTCTCCTTCCCCCCCCCCCCCCCCTCTTCCCCCCTTCTATAATGCCCCTCAATGCCAGGACGATGGCTCCGAGGCCGATCTCCCAGACTCCTATGCCGGCCCGCTGCGTCTGGTGCCACCCATCCCGCCCCTGGAAGCAACGTGGGAGGAGACCGGGGCGCAGTTGGGGGTGCTGGAGGAGGGGGAGGAGGAGGAGGAGGACGGGGAGGGGGAGGGGGACGAAGTGGAGGGAGGTACAACTAACAGTGGTGGCGGTGGTCGTGGTGGTGGCAGTGGCAGTGGCGGTGGTGGCAGCAAGAGGAGGGGGCAGAGGGCGAGTGAGACGGCAGTGGACGAGGCGATGAGGACGTGGGCGGCGGAGAGGGCAGAGGTGGTGGCACGTGTGGGGCTCGACCGAATCCACAAGTGGCGGCAAGGGCTCTACCAAATAGGTCGGTAAAAGCATACACCAAGAAAGATAATTACTCAGGTGAAGTGGCACCAGGGGTTTTGCCACATGGGTCGGCAAACAGGGGCAATGAGTTGGCTGGCCCGGAAAATTCGTTCGCCATCCTCCACCCTTTCACCCCTCAAGCTGTCTGTCACCACCATCTGTCGCTGTTGCCAGCGTAAGTATCCCACATCTTTGCCCACATCTTTGCCCACATCCCTTCCCCAATCCCTTCTCCCAAACCCCTTTCTCCCATCTCCCTTGCCCCGTTTCCTCCCCAAGCTCCTCGCGATCCCCTCTCCATCTCCTATTCCCCATCCCCTCCCCACACCCCCTCCCCTGCCCTATCTCCCTTGCAGGAGTAGACGTGAACCGGGCCGATCGCTGGCTACTCCTCTTTGAGAGCAGCAGCAGCCGCGCCCGCCTCATGAACGTGCTGGCGGTGTACGCATGGTTCGACCCGTCTTCTCCCCCCTCTCTCCCCCCTTTCCCCCCCTCTTTTCTTGTCAGGAGTAGATGTGACCCGCGCCGACCGTTCCTTACTCTTCTTTGAGAGCAGCCGCAGCCGAGCGCGCCTGATGAACGTGCTGGCGGTGTACGCGTGGTTTGACCCCGAGGTGGGGTACTGCCAGGGCATGAGTGACCTCATGTCCCCCATGGTGGTCCTGTATCCAGATGACGCGGACGCCTTCTGGGCATTCGAAAGGCTCATGCGGAGAGTGGTAAGTAGTTGCAGGGTGCATCTGTGCATCTGGTGGGGTACTGCCAGCGCATGAGCGACCTCATGTCCCCCATGCTCGTGCTCTACCCTGATGACGCCGACGCCTTCTGGGCATTGGAGCGGCTGATGAGGAGAGTGGTGAGTTCTTTGAAGAGGCCATCGGAGGCTACTTTTGAGGCGCCTCAAAAGAGGCCATCGGAGCCATGCATGTTTTGTACCCCAGAGCGTGATCGTGTTCATGTCGGCCATGTGAACAAGATAATGATCTTGCTGCACAGAGTCTTTCAATCACAAACGGTCCGTTGTATTGATTCAGCAGGGGTACGAAACATGCGGTTTTATCTAAGATACCCATAGTCCCCGTGACCCTTTAACCCATCTCTCTCTCAAATCTCTCTACCCCCTTCGTATCTATGTGCTGTCACTGCGTGCCAGAGGGAGGACTTTATGAACACGGACACGGGCCTGGGCATTCAGAGGGAGATCAGCCGCCTCTCCCACATGGTTTACACTCTCGACCCCGAGCTGCACGCACATTTGGGTAAGTTCCGGCACTCATGCGAGCTGCACACGCACTCGGATGAGTGCTTGTTTTTGCCCGCTGTGTGTGAGCACTTAGGGTAAGTGCGTGTTTTCACTCGCTGCATGCTTTCAGACGAGATTGGCGCTGGCTTGCTGCATGCATGCATGCTCCCTCTCCCTCACTCTCGTCCCTCTCCCCACAACCCCCTCCCACCACCCCTTCCCCAACAGACGAGATAGGAGCAGGCACCATGTTCTTCACAGTCCACACAGTCATGGCCATGTTCCGCCGCAAGCTCTCTTCTGTGCATGCCCTCTCTCTCCCTCTCATCCCCGACTCCCCTCCCCTCTCTTATCAGACGAGATAGGAGCAGGCACCATGTTCTTCACGGTGCGCACAGTCATGGCCATGTTCCGCCGCGAGCTCTCCTTTGCAGACGCTCTCTACCTCTGGGAGGTGAGGGTTTGCTGTGGGCTGTGAGGGTCAGCTGTTTTGGTTCTTTTAGGCGACCCAACAGTTGTCGAATCTGCTTTTTGAGGGTCAACAGTACGTTGTGAGGGTGAGCCGTGCCCTGTTGATTTTCCGAGATGTTGCATACACGTCACGCTAATGCGGGACGAGTACTTGCGGGTCATGGGAGAGAGGATTGCCAACGTGTCCGCGAGTGACTAGACTCGAGACCAAGGACGACTCGACGAGGAGTATTCTCTTTCCTGTAACCCTCCCCTCTCAGATGATGTGGGCGTGGGACTATGACGCGTGCAGTGCGGCCCTCCTCCCTCTGGCGGATCAAGCCATCTTCCATACGGCCCGCCACCTGCCGCACCTCACCATGGACCGATCTGCTTACATTGCTGCCACCGCCGCTGCCGTCCGGGCAGCCGCTTCCGTCCTACTCGACGCAGATCTCTTCACGGCTATAGCTGTCGATATCGCCAATGCCACCCGCGTGCCCCTCTCTGCTGTTCCCAGCACTGGTGCTTCCAGTGCTGGCGGCGCTGGGAGCATTAGCAACAGCAGCAGCAGCGGCAGTGGTGGTGGTGGTGGTGGTGGTGGGTCGCTTTCGACGTATGCGTCTGGCTCGGTGGGTACTGCGAGCAGCATTGCCGGCAGCGGCGGCACGTCGGCGTTCGCAGCGGCGCACGAGGATGCGGATCGAGGCTCAGTGGACCTCTTTTCCTCCCCTCAGAGGTTGGAGATTGCACTTATGGCTGCGGAGCTGGCTGTTACTCAGGCTGCCGTGCATGCTGTGCCTGATACCCCTGCTTCTGGGGCTCTTATGGGGAGAATAGGGGGTGTTGGGGTGGGTGGGAGGGAGTTTGTGGTTCCTGAGGAGTGGGAGGATGGAGGAGGGGTGGAGGAGGGAGAGGAGGGGTGGGAAGGGGAGGAGGAGGATGAGGAGGCATATGGGGAGAGTGAGAGTGAAGAGGAGGAAGAGGAGGATGAGGAGGACGAGGAGGGGGAGGGAAGTAGGAGTGAGAGTCAGGACAGTGAATTAGAAGGTGACAGTGGGGAGGAGGATCAGGAGAGCACGGGGTATAGTTCAGAAGAGGACAGGAAGGGAGAGGAGGGCGCGGAAGAGGGAGAGAGTGAGGGGGGGGAGGAGGGAGAGTGGGGGAGGGAGAGGCGCCTGTCTGAGGCAGCGGCTAGAATAGCGGGAGTGTGGGAGGAGGAAGAGGATGAAGCTGAAGAGGTGGGGGTTGCAGGGGTAGAAGTGGGAGGGGAAGGAGGGGTTGGAGAGGCAGCAGTTGGAGGGGCAGATGGAGGGGTGGGCATGGTAGCAGCGGAAGGGGCAGGCACAGGCACAGCAGGGGGAGCGGCGGGAGTCAGTTGGAGTGCAAGTGGTGGTAGTGAGCCGTCCTTCTTTGGCCGCATGCGGTCCCTCTGGGGCAAGAAGGATGACGCTGCTGCTCCTGCTGCTCCTGCTGCTCCTGCTGCTCCTGCTGCTCCTTCTCCTGCTACTGCTCCCTTCTTGTGGGGTAAAAAGGACAACCCTTCCCTTCCTCCCGCTCCTGCTGCTGCTGCTGCTCCTCTTCCTCCTGCTCCTCCTCCTCCTCCTCCTGCTGCTGCTGCTGCAGCTAGTTCTGCCGGTGTGGGCGAGGAGAGAGTGGGGAGGCGAGTGCATCAAAGCCGGTCGGCAACTGAGCTAACTCACGTTCACGGCAGCACCACGACCACCACGACCACCACGACCAGCAGCAGCACCCACGCGCATGCCAGCGGAGCTTCAGGAGGTTCATCCACAGCAGTACTAGCTGTACCATCTGACCCATCACCCTCTGCATCAGCAGCAGAACAGGCAGCAGCGGCAGTAGCAGGCAGCAGCAGCGAGGGGCTGTTCGACGGTCTGTTTGGCTTCACCCGCAGCATCACCATCCACGTCATGGGCAGCAGCAGCACGACCCGCCCGCCCCTCCCCTCCTCCTCCCACCATGCCCCCTCCTCCTCTCCTCCATTCGCCTCGGCACACAGGCACAGCAGCAGCAACGCAGAAGACACAGTGTTGGATCTCTCTGCTGTGTCGTCCCGAGTGTCCTTTGATCCGTCTAAGGACCTTCCTCCTGATGAGCGGCTGCCGACTAGCCAGCAGCTGGAGGCTCGGAGGAGGGCGGCGTTGAGAGGGGGTGTGGGGAGCTGTGTGGAGCGGGGGCAGGGCGAGGGGAGGGGCCGGATCGTGCGGTCTGTGTCGGGGGGGAATTGGAAGGAGAATGCGGCTGGAAGAGAGGGGAGAGATGGGAGAGATGGGAGAGATGGGAGAGATGGGAGAGAAGCAGCGGATGGAAGAGAAGGAGAAGAAGGAAGAGAGGCAGATGGTGGGGGCGGAGGAGGTGGGGGTGGTGTTGAAGGGGGTTTGGCTCGGAGAGGGCATGGGAGGGCAGGTTTTGACGCGGGGAAGCCTCCCCCTGCTGTTGCTCGGAGTTTGGAAAGGACAGGAAATGAGGGGATGGATGGCAGAGGAGATAGCAACGGTGCTGATTCTCCAGCTGCAAGGCCACTCCAGATGGACGGTCAGGATCGGCCGCCGCTCCCGCTGCGCCGATACCAGTCAATGGAGACAGAGAGAGGGATAAAAATCCCCAGCATCACCACCAGCAGCACCACGACCAGCGGCAACAGCACGAGCAACAGGGAGAACATCTCTAGCAGCGGTAGACAAAGCTCCACTGGAGGTTCTTCAGTTGCCAACCGCTCCCTGCAGCGGCCCATGGGAGGCTCGCTCAAATTTGACGTCCCCCGAATCGACGTCAATGCACTCCCCACCATCCTCGCCCCGCCCTCGCACCCCTCCCACCCGTCCCAGCGAGCCTGCACCCACCTCCCCTTCCCGCTCTCCTCCCACCACCAGCCCTCCTCGTCCTCCTTCCACTCGCGCCTGCACCGCCGGCAAAACAGCTCTCAGAAGCAGAAGGCAGCAGCGGTGGCCGTGCAGCGGCAGCAGCAGCGGCAGAAGCAGCAGCAGCTGGAGCAGCAGCTGCAGCAGGTGAAGCAGAAGCACGGGTTTCTGAGGAGGTATCAGAGCATGCATCCGGGGCTGATGCTGCTGCGCCCGCTGCACCTGCCACTCGTGTGGAAGCAGGAACAGCAGTTGGCTGAGCTGAAAAGCCACAGGAGCATGAGAGAGTATCGGGGTGTGGGAGAGGCAGCAGCAGGTGCAGCTCACGACTTCTCTGCTGCGCTTGCCTCTGTTGCTGCTTCTGCTGCGGTGGTCAAGGGCAGCAGTGACAGCTTCTGGGGTTTCAGCAGTGCTCTTGATCCCGACCACAGCGATAAACCCACCGCTCCTGCTGCTGCAGCGGCTACAGCCATGAGCAACTGGAGTCCCGCTAGAGTCTTTTCTGCTGGACCTTCCGCCGCTGCTGCCACTGCTGCTGCTACTGCTGCCACTGCTGCTACAGGTACTTCTCACAGCAGAACAGGCGGTGCCAACCACAACGCCACCCGCAGCTTCACAGAAGATTCCTCCTTCAACCCCTCCACCACCCCCCCTTCCTCTCGCTCCCTCTCCCGCTCCTTCTCCTGGGCTGATTCCGGGCCTTACAGGCGGGATAACCTTAGGTTCGCCGCCACCCTTGCTCTGCGCGAACCTTCCTCCCGGACCAGCCTCCGCAGGCACGGCAGCCTGGCGCTAGGCTCGGCACGGAGTGTTGGTGCTGGCTCGTCGAGGTCCCGCAGGGAGAAGCTGCGGAGGGGAGTGAGTTTCGGTTCAGAGCCGGACCTAGGCTCGGGAAGAGGCTCGGGTGGGGGGTTCGGATCCCCGTCGGAGCAGCAAAGGAGAAGAATCTCCGAGGTTCGGAGGGAAGAAAGGGAAGGAGGAGCGGATGGGGAAGGCGAAGGAGCATCCATAGCAGCAGCAGCAGCAGCAGCAGCAGCAGCAGCAGCAGCAGCAGCAGCAGCAGCAGCAGCAGCAGCAGCAGCAGCAGCAGCAGCAGCAGCAGCAGCAGCAGCAGCAGCAGCAGCAGCAGCAGCAGCAGCAGCAGCAGCAGCAGCAGCAGCAGCAGCAGCAGCAGTAGCAGCTTCGGCGGCGGTGGGAGGAGTTGGGCATATGAATGTGAGGCGGGTAAGGAGTGACGAGGAGCACTTGTCTTCAGTTTCACATGGCATGCCGCCACTCCCCTTGAGAGACAGTCCAAAAGCACCCATAGGCGCCCTGAAGGCCGCTCAGGACAGTCCAAGAATGCCCATAGGGGTCACAAAGGACAGCCCAAAGCCGCCCATAGCGCCCCTGAAGGGCCAGCAGGACAGTCCAGGGTCGCCCATGGGGGGTATGCTGAGAGACAGCCCGAAAACGCCTCTGAGTATGATGCAAAGGGAGCTGGGGCGAACAGGCAGCCCCAAGATCCCGGCCCTGGAAGGAGCAATGCGCAGGGAGGTGGATGGAGGCTCGCCTCTTTCAGTCCCTGCGAGTGCTGTGCCGGTGCTGTCGGTGCCTGCACCCACGCGTGCGACGTTTGAGTGGAGCCAGAGGCACATGCGAGGCCATTCTCCCAAGGAGGCCTCCTCGCCCTCGTTTCTCCGCTCCCCTGCTGCTGATGCAAGTGCCCCCGCTGCCGCCACCGCCGCCGCCGCTGCTGCTGCTGCTGCTGCTGCCAGTACTGCTGTGGTGGGTGGGCCTGCACCTGTTGGTGATCAATTGGGTAACGAGAGCAGAGCAGGGGGTGGCAGCAAGGACGATTCGAGTGCTCCTCTGCAGCGACTAAGGCCACCCCGTGTTGAGCTCCCTGAAACTGCCGCTGGCACTGCCGCCGGTGCTGCTGCTGCTGTTGCTGCCGCTGGTGCTGCTGCTGCTGTTGCTGCTGCCGCCGCTGGCGCTGGCGCTGGTGCTCCTGTTGCTGGTGCTGGATCAGATGTAAAGCTGTCTCTCTTCCTGCCTCCCAGGTCGCCTGGCACTTTCCCCCACAAGCCCTCCCGCTCTCTCCCTTCACCCTCCTCTGACGCTGCTCGCCTCGCCTCACCAGCTGATTTGCCCGCTGCAGCGGCGAAGCTGAGGCAGGCCGGCAGCAGCATGGGTGGTGCTGGTGCTGGTGGTGGTGCTGCTCGCACTAGCCATTTTCCCCTAGGCCTGCCTCCCATATCTCCTCGGGTCAGCTCGGCAGGCTCGGGCACCGAGCCTGCAGGTTCGGGATCTGGCAGCATGTTCGGGCATGGCTGGGGAGGCTCGACAAAGTCCCCTCGCTTCCTGCCGGCTGCTCCCACCATGGCTGGTAGCACAGGAGGCACCATAGAAGCACGCAGCACAGCAGGCAGCATGGACGGCAAACCGAAACACGAGGCCAAAGCAAACCACGAAGCAGAACCGAAGCGCGAATCGGCACCAGAACTGGGCATTGGTGTGCATCCGGGGCCCATACAAGAAGACCAGGTCGATCTCATGCCAGAGGGAGCACTGGAGGAGCCAGACGCACTACAAGACGACTTACCAGATGACTCACCGGGCAACCCACCAGACGTTCCATTCCTCTTCCCACCCTCCAAGTCCCTCGCTAGAGCGTCCAATGAAGGCAGAAGCCAGTCGATGCTTGAGACTGGAGCCCATATGAGCAAAGACCATCCTCGTCATCACCCCCCTCACTTGTTCCCCCACTCGAGGTCTCTATCTGGCGCCTCTCTCCCTTCTCCCACTAGCATTTTCAAGCCCCCCCTCCGCCGGTTAAGCCTAAAGGTTCCCCCTGAATTACACCTGAATCTCAAGTCACCCCGGGCGGACCACCCTCCAAAATCCCCGGGTTCTGTGGCCTTTGCCCTCCCTTTTGAGGTGACTCTTGGGCTGAAATCCCCAGGTCCGTTCAGAATTCCCCCTGAGTTGAGCTCTGGAATGAAGTCCCCTCGGCCGTTTGTTCCTCCTGACCTGCTTAAATCCCCGCTGGCACTTAAATCCCCGTCTTCTAGAGACTTCCTGGCTAGGATTTTCGACGACACGAACCGAGCGACAATGCGGTCGAGTGCGGTGAAAGGGGGTGCCAAGGGATGGCACAGCCTTCCGAGAGACGCAGGAGGGATGCAAGGAGAGCGAGGGGAGGTGGAGGAGAAGGAATGGGAGAGAAGGCACACAGACAAAGAGAGTGGACGGGGGATGGAGTGGTTGGGGACGCCTCAAAGGAGCTTAAGCGGGGAACGGGATAAAAGCAAACCAACGCATTACAAAAGAGCTAGTGGCCATGAAGGGAGGACGGGGTTTTGGGGGATGAAGGAGGCAGGGGAGGCAAAGGGGGAGGAGGAGATGGAGAAAGAGGCAGGAGGTGCAGCAGAGGAAAGGGGGAAGAGCACGAGGGGAGCAGGGATTCCTGATGAAGGGGTGGCTGTGAGTGGGGGAGAAGCGACAGTAGAAGGGCTGGCGACGGGTGAAGCAGCAGGTGAAGAGGAGAGGGGGAAGGGGGATGGCAGAGCAGTGGCTGAAAGGGAGAGGGAGGGTGTGAAAGCGGGGCAAGAGGCCGATATGGATGGGGACTGGCATGGATTTGGCATAATGCAGAGCCCTTCGCTGTCGGTGTCCTGTCCTGCTGCTGCTCCTGCTGCTGCTCCTGCTGCTACTTTGCCTGCTGCTGCGGCTGCGCCTGCTGCTCCCTCTCCTGCCGGGCCTGGTGCAGAGGACGAGTTCCTCTTCAAGCCTCTCTCTTCCTCCACAGCACCCAAAGTGTTGCCACCACCACCCCCAGCCTTTAACACACCGGCGACAACCGCACTACCATCGTCATCATCCCCATCGTCCTCTTCCTCAACAACAGCAGCAGCAGCAGCAACAGCAATAGCAGCAACTACCGATAGCCCAAGCACGACTCCCAGCTCCATCTCCCAAACATCTCCCTCCCTAGCCTCAAGCACAGGCTCGGGCTCAGGCTCGGGCTTAGGCTTAGACCGCAGGCGCCCCTCCATCCCGCCTCTCATGGTCCTCGCGCCTTCCGCACCTCTCCCCAGCTCCATCACCAAACCTGCCGCCGAGCCTCCGGCCTCCCCTACCGAGTCTAACCTATCGTCCCCTGCTCTATCCGTGGCTGAGATTCCCTCGCCACAGGGGGAGGTGGATGAGGAGGGGGTACTGGTGGGGGGAGGGGAGGAGGATGCGGAGGTGGAGGTAGAGAGAATGACGACCTTTTGCGTGCTGGCGATCCTGCTTGAGATGAGGGAAGACCTGGTGCAGTATGCTCAGGGGCTGGACGATGTAGTGCATGTGAGTGGCATATTTGGGGCATGTGAGTGGCATATTTGGGGCATGGGAGTGGCATATTTGGGGCATGGGAGTGGCATATTTGGGGCATGGGAGTGGCATATTTGGGGCATGGGAGTGGCATATTTGGGGCATGGGAGTGGCATATTTGGGGCATGGGAGTGGCATATTTGGGGCATGGGAGGTGGCATATTTGGGGCATGGGAGTGGCATATTTGGGCATGGGAGTGGCATATTTGGGGCATGGGAGTGGCATATTTGGGGCATGGGAGTGGCATATTTGGGGCATGGGAGTGGCATATTTGGGGCATGGGAGTGGCATATTTGGGGCATGGGAGTGGCATATTTGGGGCATGGGAGTGGCATATTTGGGGCATGGATGGCATATTTGGGGCATGGGAGTGGCATATTTGGGGCATGGGAGTGGCATATTTGGGGCATGGGAGTGGCATATTTGGGGCATGGGAGTGGCATATTTGGGGCATGGGAGTGGCATATTTGGGGCATGGGAGTGGCATATTTGGGGCATGGGAGTGGCATATTTGGGGCATGGGAGTGGCATATTTGGGGCATGGGAGTGGCATATTTGGGGCATGGGAGTGGCATATTTGGGGCATGGGAGTGGCATATTTGGGGCATGGGAGTGGCATATTTGGGGCATGGGAGTGGCATATTTGGGGCATGGGAGTGGCATATTTGGGGCATGGGAGTGGCATATTTGGGGCATGGGAGTGGCATATTTGGGGCATGGGAGTGGCATATTTGGGGCATGGGAGTGGCATATTTGGGGCATGGGAGTGGCATATTTGGGGCATGGGAGTGGCATATTTGGGGCATGGGAGTGGCATATTTGGGGCATGGGAGTGGCATATTTGGGGCATGGGAGTGGCATATTTGGGGCATGGGAGTGGCATATTTGGGGCATGGGAGTGGCATATTTGGGGCATGGGAGTGGCATATTTGGGGCATGGGAGTGGCATATTTGGGGCATGGGAGTGGCATATTTGGGGCATGGGAGTGGCATATTTGGGGCATGGGAGTGGCATATTTGGGGCATGGGAGTGGCATATTTGGGGCATGGGAGTGGCATATTTGGGGCATGGGAGTGGCATATTTGGGGCATGGGAGTGGCATATTTGGGGCATGGGAGTGGCATATTTGGGGCATGGGAGTGGCATATTTGGGGCATGGGAGTGGCATATTTGGGGCATGGGAGTGGCATATTTGGGGCATGGGAGTGGCATATTTGGGGCATGGGAGTGGCATATTTGGGGCATGGGAGTGGCATATTTGGGGCATGGGAGTGGCATATTTGGGGCATGGGAGTGGCATATTTGGGGCATGGGAGTGGCATATTTGGGGCATGGGAGTGGCATATTTGGGGCATGGGAGTGGCATATTTGGGGCATGGGAGTGGCATATTTGGGGCATGGGAGTGGCATATTTGGGGCATGGGAGTGGCATATTTGGGGCATGGGAGTGGCATATTTGGGGCATGGGAGTGGCATATTTGGGGCATGGGAGTGGCATATTTGGGGCATGGGAGTGGCATATTTGGGGCATGGGAGTGGCATATTTGGGGCATGGGAGTGGCATATTTGGGGCATGGGAGTGGCATATTTGGGGCATGGGAGTGGCATATTTGGGGCATGGGAGTGGCATATTTGGGGCATGGGAGTGGCATATTTGGGGCATGGGAGTGGCATATTTGGGGCATGGGAGTGGCATATTTGGGGCATGGGAGTGGCATATTTGGGGCATGGGAGTGGCATATTTGGGGCATGGGAGTGGCATATTTGGGGCATGGGAGTGGCATATTTGGGGCATGGGAGTGGCATATTTGGGGCATGGGAGTGGCATATTTGGGGCATGGGAGTGGCATATTTGGGGCATGGGAGTGGCATATTTGGGGCATGGGAGTGGCATATTTGGGGCATGGGAGTGGCATATTTGGGGCATGGGAGTGGCATATTTGGGGCATGGGAGTGGCATATTTGGGGCATGGGAGTGGCATATTTGGGGCATGGGAGTGGCATATTTGGGGCATGGGAGTGGCATATTTGGGGCATGGGAGTGGCATATTTGGGGCATGGGAGTGGCATATTTGGGGCATGGGAGTGGCATATTTGGGGCATGGGAGTGGCATATTTGGGGCATGGGAGTGGCATATTTGGGGCATGGGAGTGGCATATTTGGGGCATGGGAGTGGCATATTTGGGGCATGGGAGTGGCATATTTGGGGCATGGGAGTGGCATATTTGGGGCATGGGAGTGGCATATTTGGGGCATGGGAGTGGCATATTTGGGGCATGGGAGTGGCATATTTGGGGCATGGGAGTGGCATATTTGGGGCATGGGAGTGGCATATTTGGGGCATGGGAGTGGCATATTTGGGGCATGGGAGTGGCATATTTGGGGCATGGGAGTGGCATATTTGGGGCATGGGAGTGGCATATTTGGGGCATGGGAGTGGCATATTTGGGGCATGGGAGTGGCATATTTGGGGCATGGGAGTGGCATATTTGGGGCATGGGAGTGGCATATTTGGGGCATGGGAGTGGCATATTTGGGGCATGGGAGTGGCATATTTGGGGCATGGGAGTGGCATATTTGGGGCATGGGAGTGGCATATTTGGGGCATGGGAGTGGCATATTTGGGGCATGGGAGTGGCATATTTGGGGCATGGGAGTGGCATATTTGGGGCATGGGAGTGGCATATTTGGGGCATGGGAGTGGCATATTTGGGGCATGGGAGTGGCATATTTGGGGCATGGGAGTGGCATATTTGGGGCATGGGAGTGGCATATTTGGGGCATGGGAGTGGCATATTTGGGGCATGGGAGTGGCATATTTGGGGCATGGGAGTGGCATATTTGGGGCATGGGAGTGGCATATTTGGGGCATGGGAGTGGCATATTTGGGGCATGGGAGTGGCATATTTGGGGCATGGGAGTGGCATATTTGGGGCATGGGAGTGGCATATTTGGGGCATGGGAGTGGCATATTTGGGGCATGGGAGTGGCATATTTGGGGCATGGGAGTGGCATATTTGGGGCATGGGAGTGGCATATTTGGGGCATGGGAGTGGCATATTTGGGGCATGGGAGTGGCATATTTGGGGCATGGGAGTGGCATATTTGGGGCATGGGAGTGGCATATTTGGGGCATGGGAGTGGCATATTTGGGGCATGGGAGTGGCATATTTGGGGCATGGGAGTGGCATATTTGGGGCATGGGAGTGGCATATTTGGGGCATGGGAGTGGCATATTTGGGGCATGGGAGTGGCATATTTGGGGCATGGGAGTGGCATATTTGGGGCATGGGAGTGGCATATTTGGGGCATGGGAGTGGCATATTTGGGGCATGGGAGTGGCATATTTGGGGCATGGGAGTGGCATATTTGGGGCATGGGAGTGGCATATTTGGGGCATGGGAGTGGCATATTTGGGGCATGGGAGTGGCATATTTGGGGCATGGGAGTGGCATATTTGGGGCATGGGAGTGGCATATTTGGGGCATGGGAGTGGCATATTTGGGGCATGGGAGTGGCATATTTGGGGCATGGGAGTGGCATATTTGGGGCATGGGAGTGGCATATTTGGGGCATGGGAGTGGCATATTTGGGGCATGGGAGTGGCATATTTGGGGCATGGGAGTGGCATATTTGGGGCATGGGAGTGGCATATTTGGGGCATGGGAGTGGCATATTTGGGGCATGGGAGTGGCATATTTGGGGCATGGGAGTGGCATATTTGGGGCATGGGAGTGGCATATTTGGGGCATGGGAGTGGCATATTTGGGGCATGGGAGTGGCATATTTGGGGCATGGGAGTGGCATATTTGGGGCATGGGAGTGGCATATTTGGGGCATGGGAGTGGCATATTTGGGGCATGGGAGTGGCATATTTGGGGCATGGGAGTGGCATATTTGGGGCATGGGAGTGGCATATTTGGGGCATGGGAGTGGCATATTTGGGGCATGGGAGTGGCATATTTGGGGCATGGGAGTGGCATATTTGGGGCATGGGAGTGGCATATTTGGGGCATGGGAGTGGCATATTTGGGGCATGGGAGTGGCATATTTGGGGCATGGGAGTGGCATATTTGGGGCATGGGAGTGGCATATTTGGGGCATGGGAGTGGCATATTTGGGGCATGGGAGTGGCATATTTGGGGCATGGGAGTGGCATATTTGGGGCATGGGAGTGGCATATTTGGGGCATGGGAGTGGCATATTTGGGGCATGGGAGTGGCATATTTGGGGCATGGGAGTGGCATATTTGGGGCATGGGAGTGGCATATTTGGGGCATGGGAGTGGCATATTTGGGGCATGGGAGTGGCATATTTGGGGCATGGGAGTGGCATATTTGGGGCATGGGAGTGGCATATTTGGGGCATGGGAGTGGCATATTTGGGGCATGGGAGTGGCATATTTGGGGCATGGGAGTGGCATATTTGGGGCATGGGAGTGGCATATTTGGGGCATGGGAGTGGCATATTTGGGGCATGGGAGTGGCATATTTGGGGCATGGGAGTGGCATATTTGGGGCATGGGAGTGGCATATTTGGGGCATGGGAGTGGCATATTTGGGGCATGGGAGTGGCATATTTGGGGCATGGGAGTGGCATATTTGGGGCATGGGAGTGGCATATTTGGGGCATGGGAGTGGCATATTTGGGGCATGGGAGTGGCATATTTGGGGCATGGGAGTGGCATATTTGGGGCATGGGAGTGGCATATTTGGGGCATGGGAGTGGCATATTTGGGGCATGGGAGTGGCATATTTGGGGCATGGGAGTGGCATATTTGGGGCATGGGAGTGGCATATTTGGGGCATGGGAGTGGCATATTTGGGGCATGGGAGTGGCATATTTGGGGCATGGGAGTGGCATATTTGGGGCATGGGAGTGGCATATTTGGGGCATGGGAGTGGCATATTTGGGGCATGGGAGTGGCATATTTGGGGCATGGGAGTGGCATATTTGGGGCATGGGAGTGGCATATTTGGGGCATGGGAGTGGCATATTTGGGGCATGGGAGTGGCATATTTGGGGCATGGGAGTGGCATATTTGGGGCATGGGAGTGGCATATTTGGGGCATGGGAGTGGGGTGGGTGTGGTGCATGCATGCTGACAATCCTGCTGGAGATGAGTGAGAGCCTGATGCAGTATGCTGAGGGGTTGGATGATGTTGTGTAAGTGAGTGGGGCATGTAGGGCATGAGAGTGGGGCTTATGAGTGGGGCATGTGATTCATGTGGGGCAGGCATGCATGCCGTGATGTTAGATGATGTGGTGCACGTGTGTGGACCATCATGTGGTCAAGGCCATGCCATGTAAGCTATGCTTGTGGCAGATAGATATCGTGCATGCGTGCATGCTGTGAGGAGAGGAAGCATGCAGAATGCTTTGTGGGAGACACACACATAGCATCGACCATCCTTGGTGGCACGCTTAGTGCCTCCCTCCTCTCAACCTTCTTGCTCCTCTCAACCGTCCTCCCTCACCTCTCCTCCCCGCTCCCCAACCCCCCTCCCCTCTATATCTCTCTCCCCTTCTACTGTAATATGTCATTCTCTCCTGCCCGTTCGCAGTATTTTAACCTTGCAGCAACCAGTTGGAACATAAAGAAGCTCTGCAAGAAGGCAGTGACATACCATCGCAAATACCTTTACCTGGTAAGAACGCTCGTCCACACATTTCGTGCTACTGCTGGCTTGGTTGGCACCACAACCATGTATATTTTGCGTACACCACACCTGAATTTTACGTTCATGCTCATGGCGTTTTCTGCGAGGTGAGGTTCGATTGGTTCTAACGTTGGCATGTGGTTTGCTTGTGCTTTGTGTGCCTTCACATCCATGTTTGCTGCCCAACGCCTTGAATCATGCAGAGAATGGCTCGTGCAAATGCCATGTCCATTTACTTCACATAGGTGATGCAGATCTTAGAATGGTGCCAGATTTGGACACCTCGATTTACAGCTAATTATGGGTGGAAATGGCTTTTTAGAAAATTGGGACCGTAGAGTTTGCTACACTGCCTGCGTTGAGGTTGTATCGAAATACTTGTGGACGAGCCGCACTCGATAATGTCATCACCCCTTTCATGCCGAGGGTGCGGAAATTTGTTCGCTGCGCGTGGACACGTCTAGACAACTCGGCCGGTAACAACGTCGAAAATGCCTTCAACCAACGAACACATCACTGTACTGTACAGTACTACAGTGCAGTGCAAGTCACCAAAGCACGCGTTTTTTAGCCAGCAGAAAGTGTTGTCAGAAGAAGGATCGCAGATTCGCAGGTCAAGAATTTACAGTAAGAAGCAGCAGCAGCAGCTGCGTCAGCGAATGTACAGTAAATATAGTCCCGGCAGGTCGTGCGTTGACAGTGTGGTGTGGTGTGCTGTGGTTGGCGTTCATTGTAAGACTGGCTGGCAGTTTCAAGTTGCACCAGCAAATTGCACCTTGCTTTGTGAATTGCCCGATTTTTCCAGCTCACCTTGGGCTCTGTCGTTCCCTCCAAAACTCGGCCTTTCCGTGGAACCCAGCTTTCACCGTGTGGAAACGAACTGAACCGCACTGGGATGGACGATACGCAGGCGAAAGCGTGCGACATCCTCTTGGGCTTGCCGATGGCAAATCACCACAGCACAAGTTCCCAACATCCCCCAATCCCAATAGACCTTGGGCTTGCTTTGCTTGTTTCCCCCCCTGTCTCTTGTTGTTCCTCCTCGCACCATTCAGCCATTCCGTTGCACAACTCTTGGTCCTAGCTATCATCCATCTTGGCTGTACAACAACATCCTTTCTCTAGCCATCCATTCTGGTCTCTGCTGCGCTGCATCACATTCGGGTTGTCTCATCAGCTCGCCTCACTTACCTACTGATTGGATTTACGGACCCTCAGTGCCGTCACATGCTCTACAGAATCCAAAAAGGCATTTAACGACAACATGGTGGGTGGAAAAGATGACCTAGAAAACTTCACAGTTTTGCACCTCTGCTGTTTCAAGTCTCAGACTTCCTGTTCTAGTTTTGCAAGACGTCACGCCTCTGAGTCACGCAGGCTGCTAGAGTGACGAGGCGCTTCAAAGCTAATTCGCGATTGTATTAAAAAAAAAAGCTTAGTCGCATCATGCGAGGAGACGTTAGCGAGTTCAGGTTTCTTACCCTTTTCAAAGAGTTGCTGCGACGAGTATGCTTCTAATGGTGTTAGTTCGCTACAACGGCCCTAGTCTGGTTCGCTTAATTGTACCCGAGCTAATGCCAGTCGGTTATCAAATGCTCGCGATATGGCCTTAAGCCCTTGCGCCGAACCTGCGTTATTGTCTGCGTACTTAGCTGGGAAAATAAGTAATTCGCAATACGCGATGGAGGGTTAGTATACTATCGGGACATTACCGCGCTAGAAGCCGCGCAACGGCTCAACTACTTATTTATCTCGGCTTTATTCCTTCGCGTTTATCCCTTCCGTTTCTATCACATCGCTTTTAAGTCACCATGGACTGGTACGCCCAGCCACAGGACGGCGGCGCGAGTTTCGGCGCGTCTCGCTCCATGCCGCCACGTCAGTACGTAGCCACAACGACTCCTGCTGAAGCTGTTCCCGAACCTCTAAATCGCTCTCCACGTTCGTTGACCCTTCCGAAGCACCCGCCGAACCAGCGGTACCGGCAACTACCCGAGCCTGGTAGCGACGCTCGGCCCTATAGCGATCAGCACATTCCCCTTTCCGCCGACGCCCCCGGTAAGCGCGAGCGCGCCAACCGCGCTCTCCGCAAGGGTATCTCCGCCTCGTCCGCGGAACTAGACCCGCCGAGTTTTGTGCGCCATCGAAATGACGACTCAAGGCGGTGTGACAATACCGGTGGTGAGTACAACGAGCTCACGGAATATCTTTTTGGAGAGGAGAGGCTTGGAGCTGGCGCGTGGGTGTCTGGCGGCGATGGGTTCGAGCGCGGAACTGGCGGCGGGATTGGCGGCGGGACTGGCGGCGTTGCGGGTGGCGGTGCTGGTGGCAGCGGTAGATTCGACGACGCGATAAGAGACGATCCGGGACGAGGGGTCTCTAGTGCTCGGCATTCTATGCCCAAATCTCCGTCTGCGCGCCGTGCCGGCGACAATAACCAGCCAGCCGTCAACCGCCGGCAGGGTTGGCGGAGAGGCAGTGACGGGCTGTCAGGTTGGGCGGAGAATCCCGAGGATGTGCCCGAGCCTATGCCCATAGTTCGGCGCCATACCACGGGCATGGGCGGGATGGCAGTTTCGCACGGGGAGAGGGGGAAGGGCGGGGAGGGTGCTGGGGAAGATGGGCAGTGGCGGAGCGGGAATCAGGGGGAGAGGGCGGAGCGGGCGCACGGAGTGCTCCTGCAGCGGCGATCGAAAACGGGCCCTGATTATCCCAGAAGTCACACGCTGGTTACCGCGGGGAATACGGCGGGAAACGTGGCAGCAGGGGCTTCGTGGGGAGGCGCCGCGGGACACGGCGAGAGCTTCGGCGGCTTCGGCGGGGGGTTCAGAAGCGCGGGCGGCGCGCCGAAGTCGTCCTCGGGCGGATCGGTGCAAAGCGGTGCCAGTGAGGGGCAGACGGCGGTGGGGGGGGAGCAGCAGAGAGCCGCGGGAGGTAGCGGGGGACTGGCGGTCGCGGGAGGCGGGAACAGCGGGGGGAGGGAAGGCGCAGGCGGAGTCGCGGGGATTGTCGGACCCCGCGGGGTGCGCGCGGGGAGCATAGGCATCATGTCTCCGCGCCTGCTGAGATTCCTAGTGGACGAAGAGAACCCCGCAGGCCCGAACCCTAGCGGGGGGTTCGACGACGGAAGGAGGCGCGGCGGAGACGCGCGGAAGGCAAAAGGGCGGGGGAAGGACGCGGGGACGGGGAAAGGGGATGCCGGCGGAGCAGGGGGAAGGGGAAGCAGGGAGCGGGAGAGGGAGGGAGGGGGGCAAGTTGGGAGACGGAATGAGAGTCTCAGGCATCAGGGGACAGGAGGCGGGGTGACCGCCAGGGCTGCTGCGGCGGCGGCGGCAATGGGGGGAAGCACCGGTGAGGGGGGGCGGAGATCCCCCAGAGCGGACGCCGCCTTGTACTTCCCCAAATCGCGCAGCGTCGCTGTGCCAAAATCCCCGCTTTCCGCGGCGCCGCGCGTTGTTCCTTCCCCCCTCACGCCCCAGCCCGCGCTTCCCCCGGTTTCTCCCTCCTGGCACCGCTTCCCCAAGTCCGCCTCCTCCTCCGCGCGCGCCTTAGCGCGTCCCGCCAATGCTTCCCCCACCGCTGCCGGCCCAGCCCTATCGCCTCACTCTAGCACCAGTACTGATCTTTATTCCGAATCCTGCTCTTATGCAAGCTCAGGTGTGTTCTCCCAGGCGTTTCAGGGATCGGAGAAACAAAGTGCAAGCCCCTCTTATGACCCTCGTACAGGCTCATCTCCCCGTACCGGATCATCTCCCCGTACGGGATCATCTCCCCGAACGGTTTCATCTCGCCATGGGGGTGTATTATCCCCCCCTACTGAAACGTCTCCGCGTACGGGATCGTCCCGTTGTACTGGTTCATCTCCCCGTGACAACCTATCTCCCTCACGCTCTCCCTCCTCCTACCCACCAGCCAGCTCCTATCCTCCTAGTAATTCTTTCTCCCTTCTCCCCTCCTCTGGCGGCTCCACCGGTTCCTCCTCAGGGGGCGCAGAAGGCGGGGGAGATTTGGCTGCTGGTGGTGCTGGCGCTGGTGGTGCGGGTTCGTTCCCCGCCTACCCTACCTCTTCGTCGTTCTCGTTTGACTCCCACCAGGCCTCGTTACAGTCACCCTCGTCCGTGCATTTTGCCCCGGTTGGTGGGCATGGGCATGGTGGTGGTGATGGTAGTGGCGGTGGGGATGGGGGTGTGACGGCGGGTGGTTTGGAACCAATGGGGCATACACAACCGCAGCAGCTGCCGCAACCGCAGCAGCAACAGCTGCAACAGCAGCAGAACCAGAAGCAGAAGCAGCAGCAGCACCACCACCAGAAACAGCAGTGGCAGCAGCAACAGCAACAGCAGCAGCAACAACCGTTGCTGGTACGACCGCAGGAGCAAAGGATATCGCCCTCCGTCTCGCCGGCCTTCCCCTCCGCCCCTACCATGACCGTCCGCAGCAACAGCGGAAAGTTTCGCCGCCCCGCTGCCCTGGATCTCGGGCAGCTCTCGCCAACCAATCAGCAGGAACCAGAGGACGCGGAGGAAGACGACGGGCAGGAAATTATGGTTCGATTGGGAGATGAGGAAGAGGAGGAGGTGGAAGAGGAGGGGCTTACACGTGAACTGTATATGCAGCAGCCACAGGGCCAGGAGCAGGTGGGGAAGGCAGAAGGGGCGGGTGGGCAGGGGTGGGAGGAAGAGGTTTATTACTTAGACGAGCAAGATGATGTGTCGGAATACCAGAAACAGCAGTACCAGCAGCAGCAGCAGCAGCAGGCTCCTCCTCGCACCAAGCCTAAACCCCGAGCCTTGGTGACTGGTTCGGCAGATTGGTCCGGGGACAATGGGAGCACCACGCTTCTAGACTCCATAGAGCCTCTAGCTGGTGATCCGGACGAGGAGGAGGAGGGGGAGGGCTATGGGGGGTACGATTGGGGGGAGATGGAGGAGGGAGAGGAGGAGAAGGAGAGAGAGGAGGCTCGGAGGAGAGGGCACAGACGAACAGGGAGTCTGGGTGGGGGAGGGCGGGGAGGGGGAGAGGGGGAAGGAAACGGAGGAAGGAAGTCGCAGAGACGGCAGGCGTTTATTCAGAAGCTCAAGGGCCTCGCTTCGCCGCGTTTTAGGGAGGACAAGGCGAAGGCGAGGGGGTGGCAGGGCGGGGACGGGGAGGTGGAGGGGAAGCAGGAGGAGGAGAAGAGGGCAGGGGGGAAGGGTGAGGGGAAGGGGGGGAAAGGAGTGGGGAGGAATGCAGTGACTCCCGGGACTGGGGGAGGGGGAGGGATAGTGGGCGGGTGGGGACGCAGTGTCACAGGGGAGAGGACGAGGAGGGAGGCTGATGCAGTGGTGGCGGCAACAGGGAAGGGCGGAGGCAAGGAGAAGGAGAAGGAGAGGGAAGGGGATCGGGAGAAGGGGCGGAGGATGGTAGAGGCGCTCTTAGATATGCCCACGCGGAGGGTGGAGTCACCAGCTAGAGGGAAGTCAAGGAAAGAGGTACTGCGGCCAGGGACAGGAGGCGTGGGGGGGCCAGGAGGAGTATCCGGAGGAGGAGGGGCAGGTGGAGGAGCAGGAGGAGGTGGAGGAGTGGCAGCGGGGGAGGACTCATTGCGCAAGAGCACAGAGGGTTCGTTCAAAGAATCAAAGGGCTTGTCGCTGTGGGAAAAGCGCAAGGTAGGAGGGGGAGCAGGGGGGAAGGGAAGCGAGGGAGGTGGGGCAGGAGAGATCAAGACGCCTAGCTTCCTCCGTTCCTTCACCCAGCCTCGCTCCTCCAGCAGTAGAGGCTCCAAAACACCCAAGGGGGGCACCAGCGCAAGCACCAGCGGCGGCACTAGCAACAGTGCTAGCACCAGCTCCGGTGGTGGCGGTGGCGGCGCTAGCAGCAGCAGCGGCATTGGCATCAGCTTGGCCTCACGGTCGTTTAAAATGGATCATAAATCGGATCACAGCACGAGTGTGGGCGGCAGCAAAACGCCAAAGGAGGCCAGCCAGCACAGGTCAAAGCGGTCCGGGTCGGGCACGTGGGGAGGGGGGCTGGTGGCTGCTGTGGAAGGGTTTAGCCGCAGCCTCACTGCTCCTAAAGGCCCCTTCGGCTCTGCTGCTGGTAACGCCTCTGCTTCTTCTGCTAGTAACGCCGTTGCTGCTGCTGCTGCTGCTGCCGCTGGCACTGGTGGTACCGGTGGTAACGCTGCTGCTTCTGCCGCTGCTGCTGCTGCTGCTGCTGCTGCTGCTGCTGCTGGTGCTGGTGGTAATGGTGGTGGTGGTGAGGTGGGTGGAATGAAGAAGGTCAAAGGTTTGACCGTGTCAACGTCTCCTCGTCGCCTCAGCATCAGTGGCACCACCACTGCCGCCCAGTCCTCATCTCCTTCCTCCACTTTCACCGATAACTCACAGAAACACTCCCCTGCTTCTGCCTCCAACACTCCCACTGGTGTATCTGCTGCCGCTGCTGCTGCCCTTCTCTCTTCCACTGCTGCTGCCGCTGCTGTTTCTTCTGCTGCTGCTGGCGCTGGTTCGTCTGGTTCTGCTCCTGCCGTGTCAGGCTCGGGCCGAACCGGCTCGTCCACACCAAAGAACGCAGCAGGTTCGGGCAAAGCCTCTTTGCCTGGCTCTGCCAGTGCCACCGGCAGTCCCTCTGCAAATTCCCCTGCTGGTGCCACTGCTAATGCCCCTGCTGCTGCCGCCGCTGGCGGTGCTGGTGCCTCTGGTACAGCTAAAGGGCGAGCAGACACGAGGAGCAAAAGCCCTCGCACCAGCAGGACTAAAAGTGGGAAGAGAGACGAGCAGGGTTCTGGGAAGCTAAGTTCCGGGCAGACCGAGAAGAAAAGCTCTTCGCGAACCACCAGCCCGAAAACTTTGAGTCCCAGGACCCCCCGCGGCGACGGGCAGCAGCAGCAGCTGGGCACGGGCAGCACGGAAGGAATTTTCGAGCGCGGGTTCACTGACATCCGGAAGAGATTTGAGGTCGGGCAGCAAATCGGGCAGGGGCGGCGGGGGGTGTTGGTGTATATGTGTGTGGAGAGGCGGACGGGGCGGGCGTATGCGTGCAAGGCGATTGACAAGGCCACATTGGTGGAGCCGAGGAAGGTGGCGGCTGTCCGGGCTGAGGTGGACGTTATGAGGAAGCTGCTGGGGTGGCCGCATGTGGTGGGGATCAAAGACGCCCTGGAGGACGAAAAGGTGAGCGCCAGGGTGATAAGTCGATTTTTGAGTTGACTCAACAATCAAAGATGCACTAGAGGATGAAAAGGTGAGCAACCTTGTCAACCTTCTCAGGGCTGTTTTTGTGGTATCGTATTGTGGAGCAGCCTTCTCAATCGCACCTTCACCTTCTCCCTACCCATACACCACCCCCTCTCCCTCCCCCCCCTCCCCTCCCTCTCCCCCCCCTCTCCCTCTATCCCTACCCCATCTCTCTCCTTCCGCTACCATTTCCCCCATCCGCCTGTCTGTTCCCCTCTTTCCCCCCCCTCCACTCCCCCTTTTCTTCCCCTCCCTGCACCTCAGTGCGTGTACATTGTCATCGATCTCTGTTCTGATAAGAGAAGTGTTTTGAGACGTCTCAAAACACCCCAGTGCGTGTACATTGTCATCGATCTCTGTTCTGATAAGAGAAGTGTTTTGAGACGTCTCAAAACACCCCAGTGCGTGTACATTGTCATCGATCTCTGTTCTGATAAGAGAAGTGTTTTGAGACGTCTCAAAACACCCCAGTGCGTGTACATTGTCATCGATCTCTGTTCTGATAAGAGAAGTGTTTTGAGACGTCTCAAAACACCCCAGTGCGTGTACATTGTCATCCTGCGCGTGCTTGCAGAGACGCTGAACCCACAAGCACACCTTTTTCCTGCTCCCCCCTCTCCCCCGCCGCCCCCTCTCCCCCCAGTGCGTGTATATTGTGATGGAGCTCGGCTCAGGAGGCGATCTCGTGGACCACATCAACTCGTGCCATTCATCTCGGAGCGAGAGGCCGCCATCATCCTGCGCGTGCTGGCAGAGACACCACACACACCCACAAGCCCACCTTTTGAGGCGCCTCAAAAGTCACCACACCCACAAGCCCACCTTTTGAGGCGCCTCAAAAGTCACCACACCCACAAGCCCACCTTTTGAGGCGCCTCAAAAGTCACCACACCCACAAGCCCACCTTTTGAGGCGCCTCAAAAGTCACCACACCCACAAGCCCACCTTTTTCCTGCTTCCCCCTCCCCCCATCCCCCCCTGTCCCCCCCCCTCCCAGTGTGTCTATATCTTCATGGAGCTCTGTTCTGGAGGAGACCTCCTGGACCACATCAACTCCTCGCCATTCATCTCGGAGCGGGAGGCCGCCATCATTCTGCGCGTGCTGGCGGAGACGCTGCGGTCGTGCCACAACCACGGCATCATGCACCGCGACTTAAAGCCCGAGAACATCCTGCTGGCGCAGCCCGGGTGCTGGTGGGACCTGCGATTAGCCGACTTTGGGTTCTCCGTTCATCTTAAAGCTGGTGAGTGGGTGGGGCTATGCTTTTCTCTTCCTCACACACACAGCTACACGGTCACGCCACGCCCATAGCCACACCCACGACATCATGCACCGCGACCTGAAGCCCGAAAACATCCTGCTGGCGCAGCCCGGCTGCTGGTGGGACCTTCGCCTCGCTGATTTCGGATTCTCTGTGCACCTTAAAGCCGGTGAGTGGGTGGGCTGGGCCCTGCTTTCTCCCACACCTCTCCCTCCCATCACAGCCACCGCCACAGGCACAGGTATACACACAGCAACAGCCGATTATCAGACATGCTCGTGTCTCTTGCCCCGTGCCCCATGCCTCCTGCCCCATGCCCCATGCCCCATGCCTAAATCCCCTTGCCTCATGCCTCCATCCAACATCATAAAACTATCTCCAGGAGAGTGCTTAAAGCCGTTGGCCCAAATTGCACAAGTTTTAAAAAGTTGACGCGAGGGGGTTTTTCTGGTCCGGGGTTTGGCGAGAGATTCCGATTTCGTTTTCTTCGCTTTTTTCGCCAAACCCAGCCTGCCCTCGTATTTCGCCCTGGGGGTTGGATCAGTCTCCGAAAGTCCCAATTTGCAGGTGCGTTAGTTTTCAAAGCTTGCACACTCAACTTCGTCAAGTTTTAAAAGCCTGACCCGCGCGCTCCGCAATTTGGGCCTCGGGCTTTAACAGGCTATGCGGGCCCTTCTGCTTCATGCCTCACCTCATGCCTCAGAGTGCTGGACAGCATGTACGGGCACTCATGCTTCATGCCTCTCTCCTCAATCCCCACCTCTTGTATGTTTCCCCAGGCGAGCGCATGACAGTCTATGCCGGCCCGGCCTTCTACATGGTGCCAGAGATGCTGGATAGCGTGTACGGGCACGGGGCAGACGTGTGGAGCCTCATGCCTCATGCCCCACCCCCTTCCTGGTGCTTGTTGATCCAACAGGCGAGCGCATGACAGGCTATGCCGTGTCGCCATTCTACATGGCGCCAGAGGTGCTTGACAGCTTGTACGGGCACCCATGCCTTAGCCTCTTACCTCATATTCTTGCCTCCTCGCCATACACCGGATCCCCCATTTCGTTCTTCCAGGCGAGCGCATGACCGGCTATGGAGGCTCGCCATTCTACATGGCGCCAGAGGTGCTAGACAGCGTGTACGGGCACTCATGCCCCTTGCCTCATTCCTCTCCCCTTTGCCTCATGCCTCATTAATCAACAGGAGAGCGCATGACCGGCTATGCAGGCTCCCCATTCTACATGGCGCCGGAGGTGCTAGACAGCGTGTACGGGCACTCATGCCCCTTGCCTCATTCCTCTCCCCTTTGCCTCATGCCTCGTTAATCAACAGGAGAGCGCATGACCGGCTATGCAGGCTCCCCATTCTACATGGCGCCGGAGGTGCTAGACAGCGTGTACGGGCACTCATGCCCCTTGCCTCATTCCTCTCCCCTTTGCCTCATGCCTCATTAATCAACAGGAGAGCGCATGACCGGCTATGCAGGCTCCCCATTCTACATGGCGCCGGAGGTGCTAGACAACATCTACGGGCACGAGGTGGACGTGTGGAGCCTGGGGGTCATCCTTTACACCATGCTCCATGTCTCATGCCCCATGCCTTGTGTCCCATGCCCCATTCCCCATGCCTGGACCTCACCTCTTGTATGTTTCTCCAGGCGAGCGCATGACCGGCTATGCCGGTTCGCCCTTCTACATGGCGCCAGAGGTGCTGGACAGTGTGTACGGGCACGAGGCGGACGTGTGGAGCCTGGGGGTCATCCTCTACACCATGCTCTCCCAGAAGCTGCCCTTCTGGGACGACACGGACGCGGGTGTGTATCGGCAGATCAAGCGCGCCCAGGTGGACATGGAGAGCGGCGTGTGGCCGGCTATTTCCGACGAGGGCAAGGATTTGGTGCTTGGGATGCTGTCAGCGGACCCGCACCAACGAATCACCCTCGACAGATTGCTTGGTGAGTGGGAATTTTGTGAATTTTGTGAGTGGGGCAAGGGTGTAGTGCAATGGATGCTTTCAGCAGAAGCTTGAGGGTTCTGGGACGACTCGACACGGACGCGGGTGTGTACCGGCAGATGAAGCGCGCCCAGGTGGACATGGAGAGCGGCGTGTGGCCGGCTATTTCGGATGAAGGCAAGGACCTCGTGTTGGGAATGCTGTCCGCGGATCCTCACCAGCGGATCACTCTCGACAGACTGCTCGGTGCGTGCCGTGTGAGGTTGTTGTAATGATTGTTGTATGGCATCTGACGAGGGCAGGATCTGGTGCTCGGGATGCTCTCGGTGGACGTGCACCTACGAATCGCCCTTAATAGATTGCTCGCTGCGTGTATCAAGGGTGTGAGGATTTTAGTTGACTCAGAAGCGTGCAATGAGTAGATGAAGGATTCAGGAGGGATGCAAGAAGCAGCACAGGGAATTCAAAATGGAAAATGATAATCCCGATCGATCACTCTCGATCGATTGCTTGGAGCAGGTTGTATGAGGGGGGCATTGTTGTGCAAGGAATGTTGTCAGAGTTCATTGGGATGCATGGGATGGGATGCTCTCAGGAGGAGCACACTGCAAATTGCACACCAGTGCATCGCTCAAGCCCACTTCATGCCTCGTGTTTCTGCCTTTGGATCATTGCAGCTCATCCGTGGATGGCAGTCAACGGCTGTGATATGCCGCCATCGCCGGCACACAGCACAGCCTCTTCGACCGACACGTCAAGCCTCTCTGGCAGACGGAAAAAAGACATTGCTCGGTCTACAGGCACCATATTCTCCTCGCTCGGAATGCCCTTTTGCCGTGTCTATCAAGGTAATGACGACGATGAGGATGATGACCAAAGTGTATCCGGCTTAGCATAGAAGATTAGAGGTTTATGTTGCCTTTATATTGTAGATTTACGTATTTCTAAATAACATTACGACCGAAGTGTAGTATGTAGGTATCAGTTCTGCCGAACCTGTAACCTAGCCGGTTCTGCTCAACACCTTGGCGGACGTGCGTGAGGTTCGTCGAGATTCGCATTCAATGCTTGATGTCACGCTAAGGAAAACGCCAGATTTTGCATTGGCCTGCCCTCATCCACCACACAGTTCATGCCTCAGGTTAGTGGCACTGCTGGAATGCCGAAGCCGCGGATTCGCACAACCGTTTCTGGAAGCTCAAAGGGCGACCAGTTGTTATTCCGGGGGATGAGGTGCAACCGTTGCATGCGACAAAAAAAAATACATTCTGTTTCGGATTGCGACCCTGTAATCCAGTATAATAACCATTGCTGACGTCCAGAAGGCAAAACGGCTATTTCGCAAACAGCAGCAAAACGGGTGTCGTCCCTACTATCTTTGCCGAGTGGTGTGAAAGAAACGAAATCGTGGCCCTCGAATCGAACTCACAGGTGCCTATGGAACAAGCTTACCAGTGACAAGAAAAACTCAGTTTACTGAATGTAATTGTTATAGGAAAAGCGTGGAATGAATTGTGGCTTGTGCCGCGCGTTGAACCCAGTGCGCGAACTGTATCCCACGTCGCATCAGATTTCACGACCACGACCAAGACGCGAGAAGTACTGTTACTTGGAGCTGGGGGGCACTTCCTCAGCCAATAGAAAAGCGTTTCGTTGCAAGCTGGAGTTTTCAAACAAAAGATCGCCGCGTGGAACTGCTCCGTATGCCAACAACATTATTTCGCAACGCACCGCATCAACCCGCGTTTTGTCCTGGACACTCGTCGCATAAAGCTCTGCGAATCTCTCATCATGAAGGCTTAACGAATATGCTCGGTTCAAGTCGTTGCAAGTTAACTTCACAAGGTTTTGTTTCGGTACTGCACGGTTGGTTTCGCCTCCACTAGTATCTTTCTTCCCTGTTTTCGTTTGATTTCGTTACGATGTACCGCGCATTTATCCCCAGCCACCAACTGTGAAGGGCTTGCAGAATCACGTGCGTGCTTCTGCCAGTCCAACCACCCACCACTTCCCTTCATCCCGCTTCCCATGTCTCTTCCGAACCCCATCCATTCCAACTTACGCCAATCCATCTGCAAGTGTATCTAGCAGCCAGAGACACCTAATCGCCACTCTCTGAGCTAGTAGGAGCTGCCAGCTCTGTACGTCGACTGCTGCATCCCGCTCCGAAACCCTCAGTACTCCTCTGTATTCTCGTTTATTCTTCCGCATTCCTGTGTTACTTACCGCCAGCTTCGATCGTCCAATCACAAAACTCCAAATGGACGACGAACCGCCGATGCTCGCGTATCCCGTATCCAGTAATAGGCAAGTCCCGTGGGACCCCGCTCAGCGTCCGCCATCCCCACTCAATCCCGCCGCTAGACGCTTCCCCGCGCCCATTCCTCCCCGCACTTGCGCGCAGGAAGCTTCCGCCAGTCCTTACGGTGCGAGTCCCCATAGCGGAAGCCCCTATGGCGCAGTCTCTTCCGCTTCCCCGGTTCCGCTCCGCCGGTATAACTCCGTCACCTCCCCCGTTCCGCCGCCCGTTTCCGTTCCCCCCGCCGGATCTTCCCCCGCGCCCAAGTCTCCCCTCTTCCGCACGCCCTCGCTCGGCACCCCCGTGCGTATCTCCGCCGCTAGAGAACAACCGTCGCCGCCCATGTTTCTCCCGCCCACCGCCTCGGGGGCCCTCCCGATAGCAGTTCCGCTCTATATTCCGCCCCCCGTGGGGCCGGCGGACCGTTCGTTTGCGCCCAGCTGCGCGTATGAGCCGCGGGCGCAGCATCTGGACCGCGCGTTTGCTCACGACGGCGGTTGCGCGTATGAGCAGCGGGTGCCACCACGGGGACCTGCGGGCCCGCTCGCACGGGGAAACAGCGGCGCCGCATCCCGCCGCGCTGCGCCGATTCCGCGCCACTCCTCCCTCCCCCTTGCGGCTTCCGCCTATCCCAGCGGGAACTACTCTTCCGCCGTTTCGAACGGCCCTTGTCCCGTTCCTAGTAACAATCAGCGACACGCGAAAGGTCCTGCTGGTAACCTGGTGACCAGCGGAGAAGACAGCGGGAAATATGTTCAGGCGGGCGGGTGGGAGAAACCGTTTATTCATCGATCCACGTCAGCACCCGTGCCTGATGACGAGGCTTGGGAAGAGGAAAGGGAATATGAAGAGGGGGAGGAGGAAGAGGAGGGGGAGGACTGGGAGGAGGAGATGGGGGAAAACGAGATGGCGCCGGAAGGGGAAGGGCGCAGGGGGGAGATGAGCGGCGCGGGCGGATGGCAAGTGAGTGCGCGGGCTGGGGGGCCGGCGGGAGGGGAAACGCGGGGGTGGCGCGGGGAGAAACCCCGGCGGCAACCGGACAGGGCTTACCTGACTAGCCCGTACGACCAGCAGCAGCAGCAGCAGCAGCAGCAGCAGCAGCAGCAGTCACACCTTGCGAGGCATTTAAGCCTGGAGCCGCAATTCGCGGATAACCGATGCGGTCAAACGCGGGGGGACGAGCAGCGGGCGGAAGGGCGGGAGGGGAGAGGCGCGAACCTGCTGCGACAAGCATCGGACGGGCAATGCCTTGCGCGCAACGGCGGGTATGGGCGGGGGGAACGCGGGGACGCGCAAGACGGGCAGGACAGGCAATATCTGGACAGGCAGGACCCGGACAGGCAAATCCTGGATAGGCAGTGCCCAGATAGGCAGCAACCGGACAGGCAGCAACCGGACAGGCAACAACCGGACAGGCAACAACAGGACAGGCAACAGCCGGACAGGCAACAGCCGGACAGGCAACAGCCGGACAGGCGTCAGCTGGACAGGCGGCATGCAGACGGCATGTACGTGGACAGGAGCGAGCCGGACCGCGAGCGGCTGATAGAGCTGCGTCTGCGGCGCGTGGAGCGGCGGCGGCAGCAGCAGTGGCACCACGAGCGGCAGCGCAAGGCGGCGCACAGGCTGATGGCGGAGCGACGGCAGCAGTGGCAGCTGTGGCGGCAGCAGCAGCAGCAGGGGCAGTGGCAGGGGCAGGAGGAGCAGGGGCAAAAGCAGGGGCAGCAGGGACAGGGGCAGGGGCAAGCACAGCAACAGGAGTGGTTTCAGCAGCAGCAGCAGCAGCAGCAGCAGGTGTATCAGCAGCAACAGCCAGAGAGAGACGATTACGAGAAGGAAAAGCCAGCCACGTCACCTTACCAGCAGGCCATGTCACCTTACCAGCAAGCCACGTCTCCTTACCAGCAAGCCACGTCGCCTTACCAGCAAGCCACGTCACCATACCAGTCTCTCACCCATCGCACACGTTCGCTGCCTCAGCACTACCAGCCGTGCACTGACCACGCCAATACCGCCTGCAATAGCAGCGTCCTCCCCAGCCATCCTGCCTGCGCCAGCCACCTGCAGCGCTCTGCCTCGGATGGACGTGCAATAACTGGCCAGGTGGCACCTGACCAAGATTCACCTGACTGTGATTCACCTGACCAGGTGGTTCCTGCCCAGGTGCTAGTGCCCAACCAGATGACACCTGGACAGGTGGCACCTGGTCAGGTGGTTCCTCAGCTGCTGCCGAGCAGGTCCATGCGGCAGCTGAGGAGAATGCCGCCTCTTGACTCGAGAACGCAGCAGCAGCAACAGCAGCCAGACATTCGCACACAGCGGGCACGAGTAGCTGTTCCCGAGCCTACCCAGTCCCCCTCTTACCAGACCTCTTCCCCTTGCCTCCCTCCTCGTTCCCCTCATCAATCCCCTCCTACCTCCCCTCCCTACACCTCCCCTTGCTCCCCTCCTCTCTCCCCTCCTGCATCTACCGGAACAGCCATCTGCCACTCCCCTTCCCTCTCCTCGCCCTCTTCCTCTTCCTCCTCCTTCGTGTGGCCGAGGGGAAACGGGCCGGACTTTGCGGCAGGCGGGAGGGCTGCGTTGGGGGGAGCGGACAAGTGGGTGGCGTGCTTTGTCCCGCAGTGCTGGAACCGCAATTGAGGGTATGAGATTTGATACTGGATGGAGGCCTGTTCTTAGGCGAGTTTGACGGAAAGACGGTCCAAGATATACCGTACCAATATCCCTTGCAGCATCGGCATGTGTGCTGCACACGTGGCATGGCATGGCCCATGAGAAATCAAAAGATGCGTCCTTCCCATTGGTGTGCTGTGCTAACATTTATTGCTGTGAAGTATTCAAGTCAGGAGCTTGTACATTCTGCAAGACAGCTACGGTATTGCGTGGCAATTCTCTGTTCATGCAAACATTATTAGTACGAGCATGACATTGAGTACACCTACTGAAACTACCGTACCTCTGTTGAATGAAACCCTCAGTTACGGTACCGTATGTATTGACGAAACATGCTGAACTGCAGCGTTTTCCCCTGTGAGCCATGCTGTTCCCAGAATCAGGAAGCTGTGCTGAAAGTGCTCAATATAAACCCAAGATGCATCCACTCTAAACTCCGTGCTGGTGAAGAGGCACCAAGAGGCACCAAGAGGCACCAAGAGGCACCAAGAGGCTGCTGAGACACGCAGCACACGCATCAGACATTATTCGCCAACTCGGATCTGCACAGAAGCCAGCTGCTTGTCGCAGAGGGGAGCGGAGCGGGGAGGGGCGCAAGGAGAAAAGGCAGGGCGGATGGGGGATTGCAAGGGAAAACTGAGTTGGGGGAGTCTCTTCTAATCTCTTCTAGAGCAGCCATTGGTTGCTCCTTTTCTATTGCTTCAGTGCTATTTTTTTACGCGCCTAAAAGCAAGCCCGACAGTCAGAGCACGCCGCCTCTCAGTCATCCCCATAGTCTGCACTGCAGCCACATGCCTTCAAGACCACACAAGCAGCTCACCTCGTCGCTGTCAACAGCGCGCACAGCAGGTGCACCTCCCCCCATCTGCCCTCCCCTCTCCTCGTCTCCTCCTGCCCTCCCCTCCATCCATTACCAGCGCATCACAGCACCAGTCGGTCATGTGGGTAAATTGCATCGGGGTCCTTAATCTGGGGGTTACGCCGCAGCACTTCCCCCACGCTCCGCCTGGACCGGTGTGCAATGGTGCTCAGGGTATCGCCCTCCTGCACCTCGTACATCCCCCCCTCCGCCCTGCCCTCAAGCTCGCCTCCTTCTCTCCCCTCACCGCTCTCCTCCTTCCTGCGAGCCTCTTCATACCCCCGGCAAAGATCCGAGTACCTCTCCTCATCCAGGCGACTGCACACAAAAGTGGGGAAGAGAGAGAAAAGGGAATTCCGTGAGAGGGTGGACGGCACAAAGGAAGATTTCTCTGAGTGGAATAGCAGCTTCGTAGCCCCGGCAGACACCAGAGTGCTTCACATCGTCCAGGCGACTGGAAGGAGGGGAGGGGAAGATTCTGTCAGAGGACTCGACAAGACAACACATACGTAGCTACGCACTTTTGAGGCGCCTCAAAGGAGGGGAGGGGAAGACTCTGTTTGAGGAGTCTGAAACACAATAGTGGGTACACAACACCAGCACAGATAGGACAGGGATTGAGATAAACAAGGCATATATATAGAGAGGGGGGTTGAGAGGAGGAAAGGTAAGAGGCCATGCTGACCCAGGAGAGGGTCCATATCCCACCAGCACCCACCAGCACCCACCAGCACCCATCCGCACCCATCAGCACCCACCAGATCTCAGCCATGGAGCGGCGGTCCCCATGCAGACGGCGAATGACCATCTCCCGCTGCTGCCTCAACACCAGCTCCGCCTGCTGCCACCTCGGCAGGGGCTTGGGACCCCTCCGCCACACTCCGCTGCTGCTAGTGGTACTGGTAGGGCTGCTGCTGCTGCTGCTGCTGCTGCTGCTGCCGGTGGTGCTGGTGGTGTTTCTTGCTTCTCCCGTTGAGTTCCGCTGCGAGCCGAGGGACATGAACCAGGGGCGTCTGGGGGAAGGGTGCGGGGGACAGGGAGGGAGCGGGGGAGAACGGAGGACACAGAGCACAGTTGCAATCAGGCGAATGACCATCTCCCTCTGCTGCCGCAACATCAGCTCTGCTTGCTGCCACCGCGGCAACGGCTTGGGCCCCCTCTGCCACCCTCCGCTGCAAGTGCTACTGCTGCCACCACCACTGCTGCCATTGCTGTTGCTGGTGCTGCTGCTTCCCTGTCCTGTTGAGTTCCGCTGCGAGCCGAGAGACATGAACCAGGGGCGACTGGGTGAAGGGTACGGGGCCAGGGAGGGAACAGCAGAGGACGGGGGACACAGAACGCAGTTGCATTTAGCAAATGACCGTCTATCTCCCTTCTCCTGCTGAGTTTCGCTGCGAGCCAAGAGACATGAATCAGGGGCGACTGGGGTAAGGGTGCAGAGGCTAGGAGAGATGCGTTTATACTTAGTGAGAAAAGAGAGAAATTTATTTTCTTGTGTCATGCCATGCCATGCCAAGACTTGCTAAGCCATACCATACCATGCCATGCCATGCCCAGCCGCACTTCGCCATGCCATCCCATGCCAAACCATGTTACCAAGTAATTCGAGTCTCAATAGTCACCAGGCCCATGGCAGCAACACCACCCACACCAGCAGCACTCACCGTGCCTCCCGTCCGCCCAGCCCTGTCCGCCCATCCTCTCGCACCACCTGCTCCCCTCCCCTCTCCCTCCCACCTTCCCTCCCCCTCTCCCTCCCCCCCTCGCTGCCCTCCTGCCCCTCGCCCTCGCCATCTGCTGCGTCGGTGGCCGCAGCAGCCACAGGCGTATCCCCAAAGTTGAGCTCAAACACCCCGCCAAAGCCCCTGCAAGGGTGAGAAGGGCAGGATTTGAGAGGAAGGATTGAGATGGTGCTCTGCTCTGCTTGCGCATGGTCCGTGTGAAACTCGCACAACCTCACCACACCTGAATGCACCGCATTGCACGGCACTGGACCTTCTCATTGCCTTGTTTTGCAAGGAGCACGTCTCACTCACATGCCGAGGTGTGGCCGCTGCGCGATGTGGTCAGTGAAGCTCGCATAACCTTGCCAAACAGCATGCATCGCACTGCACCGCACTGCACCACCTCACTGCATGGTCTTACGAAGAGCATATGGCCCTAGACTCACATGCCGAGGTGTGGCCGCTGCGCGATGTGGTCCGTGAAGCTCGGCCGCTCATACTCCAACGCTCGCCTGCAAGCAAGGGCCGGCGCAGTGCGGTGAAGTGCAATGCACAGAGGTGCGGTGAGGTAGTGCGAGGATACACCAGACTGGAGCTTACAAGAAGGCGCCAGACCTTTTCCAGCATTTATTGCGGCACCACAGCAATTGAGCCACTCCCCTCGTTCTCGCCTCTCTCTCATTCAACTCAGCGATTGAGCCACCTTGTAAGAGACACACTGCTCATCCCCACTCGCCTCCTCTCCTTCAACTCACTTGTTCTCCTCTCCTCTCCTCTCCTCTCCTCTCCTCTCCTCTCCTCTCCTCTCCTCTCCTCTCTTCTCCTCTCCTCTCCTCTCCTCTCCTCTCCTCTCCTTCCCCCTCGCATTCTCCAACTCACCTCCTTCTCTCCTCCCGCGTCCGTCTGTTACTCCTATTCGCCAGCACCATCGCTCCACCCACCAGCGCCACAGCCCCAGCAGCAGCAACCAAATCCCACACCCCTCTGCGCCTCTGCTCCCCCTCCCCCTCCCCCACCAGACCCAACGCGTGGCTACGGCTGTGGTGACTGCTGCGGGTGTGACTGTGGCGGGAGAGCGAATGCGTGCTGTGGAGAGCGGTGGAGGTAGAGGAGGCGTTGGAGTGAGTGCGGGAGATGGGCGAGGCCACTCTGCGGGGACTGCACAGGTGGTCCGGCTGGTGGCACAGGGGAACAGGCATGGTTACGGGGATACAACAGAGCAGGAAGAGGGAGGGAGGGCGGGGAGAGGAAGGCGTTGGAGTCAGTGCGGGAGAGGGGCGAGGCGAGTTGACGGGAACTGGTCCAGCTGGTAATAAAAGCCACGGGTAGTGAGGGGAACGGGGGTGCGGGGGGGGTTTGGGTGGGGGGAGAGAACAGCTGTTGGAGTGGGTGCGGGAGAGGGGGGAGACCACCCGCTCAGCTGGTCCGGCTGGTGGCACAGGGGAAAAGACCACGAGTCGGGGGGGAGAAGAGAACAGAGAAAGTCAATGTGGACTGCTCAGGTGCTCCGGCTGGGGGTGCATGGTGGGTGTGGGGTGGAATGAACACAAGTTCAGCAGCAGGAGAGGTCGGCATGGGAGTGAATGCGCAGGAAGAGAAGGAGGGGCAGGAGAGTTGTGGAAGAACCAGTGAAGGAAGAGGAGGGGGGGTGGGGTGTGAGGGAGAAGAGAGAAGGGGGGTGTGGGAAGGGGAAAGGAGGAGGAGGGGGTTGGGTTGACGATCGGAAGAGCGAGGGAGAGAGAGGGAGAGGGGGGACGAGGACGTACGAGAACGGGGGTGAGGGAGGTGGGGTCAGGCGGAAGGAAGCGAGGAGAGACGTCCACCGGAGCAGCAGATGCAGCAGCAGCCCTGGCTCCAGCACCAGCAGCAGCAGCAGCAGGCACAGCAGCGGCACCACTGGCTCCCAGGTGGCGCTCCCCACTCTGTTTCTGCTTCGGCTCTAACACGCGGTGATATTCACTCAGACGGTGACTGTTCTGGCGAGCTTCCGAAGCAGAAGCGTGGCTATGTTGGTCAGTGTGCTGATGGTACCAATGGTGTCCATGCCGCTGCTGTTTGTGCCCCTCGTGCTTTTGATGCTGCTCGTGACGTGCCTCACGCACACGGTCGCATTCACTCGGGTGCTGCTGACTGTGGCGATGATACACATGCTGCTGCTCGTGCCCCCCATGCCACGCATCCGGTCTGTCGGCCCTCCAATCCTGCCCTCGCACCCTTGCACTTCCTGCTGGCGCTGCCGCTGCTGACAGTGCAGCCACTGAAGGTGCTGCTGGCTCAGCAGGCTGCATTGCCCCCCCCACGCGTTCCCCCACTGGCCTCCCATGCACGCGGAGCGACGGCAGGCCAGCAGGAATCGCACCCGCCATGCTCCGCCTCTCCTCCTCGTCCAGTCCGAACCAGGCCAGTGCATTCTCGGACTGGGCTGCATGTGGCTGTTGAGAACACTTGAGACCCGCTTCCCTGTTGGTGCTTGAAAGCACCTCTGAGTCTGGCGGCTCTGAATCTAATGACTCGGTGGCAGTTGCTGGAGTAAACTGCTTCTGCTCCTTATGCTCGGACTTAGAAGGTCCTTTCATGTTGCCAGCACCGGCATCAGCAGCAGCAACAGCAGCAGCAGCAGCAGCAGCAGCAGCAGCAGCAGCAGCAGCAGCAGCAGCAGCAGCAGCAGCAGCAGCAGCAGCAGCAGCAGCAGCAGCAGCAGCAGCAGCAGCAGCGGAAGCTGCAGCACCAGAGGTGGTGGAGGGAAGGGTGATGGAGGCCGCGCGGGTCAAGTCAGCGAGAGAAGGAGCGAGAGAGGACGGCTGAACACAAGGGTTGGATGAGAAGGACGAGGTGGAGGCGGAAGAGGAGGAGGAGATGAGTCTCTGACGAGCAGCAGAGGAGGCCGTCACCATGATGCCATCGAAATCCTGATGCACACAGATGCAGAGAAGATAAGGGGGACACGAGACTCCCGTTGAAAAACAGTTCAAGACTAAAGCACACGCAGGGAGGCAGGCACGTAGAGAGGAGATGAGTCTCTGGCGGGCAGCAGAGGAGGTAGTCACCATTATGCCGTCGAAGTCCTGATGCAGACACCCAGGGAGGCAGACACGCATACATGCAGGAAGGCAGGCACGCAGGCAGGAAAATTGCATACACAGAAATAGGTCTCACTCACTCTATTCGCATTAGGTGTTTAGGCAGGAGACACACCTCTTAACATAATACCCGCTCCTTTCAACTTGGACAGCGTGAGCAGGCACATGCAGGCATTAAGAGCCACATCGCTCACAGGAACGCTCCAATTTCACAAACATGAGCCACACAAGCCTCTTCTCAATCATGAGCCACACAAGCCTCTTCTCAATCATGAGCCAAACAAGCCTGTTCTCACCCGGATGCACTAGGCGCTTGGACAGCGTGCGCTAACACAGGCAGACAGTACGGCACGAGCCATGCCCATATGGTTGCACCACGCACACTATTGACTCACCCGGATGCCCACTAGCCGCTTGGACAGCGTGCGTAGACACAGGCAGACAGTACGGCACGAGCCATGCCCATATGGTTGCACCAAGCACTATGACTCACCCGGATGCCCACTAGCCGCTTGGAGAGCGTGCGCAGGCACAGGCAGACGCGCCGAACGTCCCTGCCATCCACGAGGTCAGGCGAGGTGAAGAGCGATACGTCCCTCAGACCCACACGCCGACACACCTGGGGAGAAAGGAGGGGGACACCAGGGGAACAGAGGGGGGAGAGGGGGGAGAGCAGGGGACATGGGCGTAAGGGGGTGATGAACGTCCCTGCCATCCACGAGGTCAGGCGAGGTGAAGAGCGATACGTCCCTCAGACCCACCCGCCGACACACCTGAACGGGAGAACGGGGGACATGAGCATAAGGGAACGGTGAGCTTCTCTTGAAACTACGAGGTCGGGCGAGGTGAAGAGCGATACGTCTCTCAGACCCACAGATCCATCCAGCACAGCCACACGAGCAGTGTCGGCTGCTATTTTAGGCGCCTCAAAAACCGCCTCACTACACGCTTACTGTTGAGGCACCTCGTGAATTTATCCCGCACAGCCACAAGAGGAGTGACGGTTATGCAGGCGAATTTTGGCATCGTCTGAACGCCCATACCAGCGGATCTCACCTTGAGAAAACGTTCCACGTTGGTGCACGCGTGCCAGTACGCGCGCTTAAAGCCCGACCCACCACTCTCCTCACTGGAACGGCCCCCGTTTGCGCTGCTGCTGCTGCTGTCACCACCAGCACTAACATCAACACCACCCTCAGCAGCACCGTCAGCAGCATCAGCAGCCGCAGCGGCGGCGGCAAAAGCACCACTCTCGGCAGTGGGGGCGGTGGGAGGTTTTGCAGGCGGGGCGGAGTCAAAGTTCGGAGTCAAGGGGACGCTGGCGGAGGGGGGGGCGTCGGGCGCAAGCAGCTGCTGCACCAAGCAGGCGAGCTCGAGGCTGTGTGGGGGGGAGGTCGTGTGGGGGAGGTGGAGGAGTGGGGGAGAGGGGAGTGGAGAGGTTCTAAGACGTCTTGACATAGGATGCAAAGACGGGCGCAGAAAGCTGCTGCACCGAACAGGCGAGCTTGAGCCTGGAGCGGGGGAGGGAGGCGGGGGACGAGAGGGGGAGAGCCGAGTGGGAAACATTGGAAGGACTGAAAGGGAAGAGGGTGGAAGCGACAGAGCGAGGCTCGAGTACGTGAGACGTGGACTTCTGAAACGGAAGCTGATGGCTGGGTGGGTGAGGATAACAGCTACCAAAGGAGACGAGGGGAAGATGATGAAGTAACAGTGGGAATACGCGGGTAGAAGCAACGAACGAAGAGGGCACCGTGGGGTCAATGCGAAAGGCATCCGGGATTCTAAAGGCTAAGAAGCATCGTCTCGAGGCATTGAGAAGTAGAGGCATCGACGACTAGAGGCATCGACGACTACTACAGGCATCGACGACTAGAGACAATGAGGACTCACAGTATTTCGCCATCCCCTAGCAGATCGCTCAACGGCTTATCGGCGGGAAGCGTTCGCGACAGAGTCTGCGACAACCAGCGACGAGCTTGCGACTGAATGGGGCGAAAGAGGGCACGTGTGCGAAAAATCGGAGGAAGAAAGAAGAGATGAAGAGCGTCGCAACTCTAGGAAACCACGGGATACAGGATCGAGCGTCTACGCTATGGAGGAAACAACTCCAAACGAAGCTTCGAAGCTTTGAAGCAGAATGACATTTCGCAGATCAGGCTCGACCACAAGACTATTGAGTCGAACTAAATATTATCACCTACACCACATGCATCTGCACTGACGCGGCGCTACCTCTAAGTACTGCTCGTCGATGGACGCAGCTCCGCTTGTTACACTTGCGACGGTAAGCGGAATGTGCGACTGCGCTGGCTGCGCCGGCGACGCGGAGAGGTCAGACGCTACCATTGCGACGACAAGCGACAGATTGGTTTGGCTGACGAAGATCCTGCGACGATAGCTCAATAACTTAACCGGCCAGATCTGCGATAACGAGACTATGTCCCTTCCACAAAGGCTAGGCGGGTCGGCAACACCCTTCGCATCGACGCACTACGACGTGCATCTGCAAGGGATCGCCACTTGACTACGCCACCAGTTGCTTGATCGCAGGCGACTCTGCTGGTTGATTGATAGATTCCGTGCTTGATGCGATTGTCTCATTCTGCGTTCCTCTCTCAACAAGCGGGAATGTCGGGGTGGAAGCAAGCGGAAGTGATGTGTGTGGGGGAGCGGAAGAAGCGCGCCAAGCTCTCCGCCCTCCTCTGATTCTGTCCTCTGCCAAGTGCAAGCTTTCCGCGGACTTTTGGGGTGATCTTGATGGAGGGAGCAACGCGGGAAAACTGACGCAAGGTCGCTGATTGGCAGGGAAAGTGGAGGCCGTTTCGTTTCGTTTCGTTTAGCTAGGCACTCCATCAGCAACAAAGCACATGAATTTAGTACTTTTTTGAGTTCAGACAGAAGCCCATGGTCAATAACAATGTCACCTCAGCTAGATACAACTATTTATAGCACTACTATCAGCAACTCGAGTTCTATTATATTCATACGGCAGCAGTAGAGAACATTAGCTTGGTACTAGATACTAAGTACCATGCATTCCTAAAAGCTCTTGCTATTACTCCAACAATGAAGGTAGCAAGTGGTTATTATTGCAGACACCTTATAGTGTTGATAAATGTGGAAATAACCTGCAGAGGGCCACAAAGAATGTTAATCATCTGACAGAGACTTCAAGGAATGAAAACAAAGAAAGCAGAACAGCTCACCTGGGTATAGGTTGACTGTCTCATGCCTTGGGAGGAGCTGGCTGCAGACAGGAGGCATTGAACCATCCTCCCCCACCCCAGGGAGGACTGGCTGCAGGCATGAGGCATTAAGCCATCCTCCCCCACCCCAGAGAGGACTGGCTGTTGGAGGTTTAAGCCATCCTCCCCCACCACAGGGAGGACTGGCCCACCCTCAGGGTTGCTAGTATCAAGACTTGCGGGAGCCCATGTGCACACGCTGGTTCTGTCCTTTTGGACCCCCATCAAGTAGCAGAGCTGCTGCAGTCAGCTTGTGAACCCGATTGTTGAAGGTTTTGAGAGGCAAGAGGCTGTTGGAAGGGCTTTAGTGATGAGGCACCTGCAAAAAGAAAACACGGAGATGTCAGCCAAGGTTGAAACAAAAAACGAACAAGAAACAAGTAAAGTCTGTAACATTACCTTGGGGCCTTGGGTGTTGGGATGTTTAATTGTTGAAGGTCTTGAGATGAAAATGGCTGTTGAAGGGCTTGAATGGTGAAACACCTGCAAAACGAAAACAAGGAGAAGTCAGTCAAGGTTGAAACGAAAAAAACGAGCAAGAAACAAGTATAGTCAATAACATTACCTTGGGGCCTTGGGTGCTTGGATGTTTAATTGTTGAAGGTCTTGAGATGGAAGTGGCTGTTGAAGGGCTTGAATGGTGAAACACCTGCAAAAAGAAAACAAGGAGAAGTCAGATAAGGTTGAAACGAAAAACGAGCAAGGAACAAGTCAAGTCAAGAGCATACCTTGGGGGGTTTGGGTGTTGGTTGTTAAATTGTTGAAGGACTTGAGAGGCAAGTGGCTGTTGAAAGGGCTTGAGTGATGAGGCACCTGCAAAAGAAAACAAGGAGGAGTCAGTCAAGGTAGAAACGAAAAACGAGCAAGGAACAAGTCAAGTCAAGAACGTTACCTTGGGGGCCTTGGGTGTTGGGATGCTTGATTGCTGAGTTGGTGGAGACAGCAGATGAAGTTGATCCTGTTGGAACACTTGAATCTTTGTCAGCCATGTTGAACCAAAATTCCTGAAAATAACAAAGCAATCTCACGCAAACAAAGGGGGAAATAGACAAACAAAACAAACATACACACGCACACGAATACAGAGAGAAGAAAAACAACAAAAGAAAACCCCACAAAGGGGTACAAGACCGAGTGCAAGAAAACCACTAATGGCAAGCAATAATGAACTTTTAGGAAAAGCGCACGGGAAAAGCATCAAAAGGAATAAACTCGGGCTCTGATACCATCTTGAAAAGTGAAGTAAAGGATTATGAAGGGTAAATAGCAAGTAGAGAGAAAGAAAACTCCTAGAAGAAAGAGTTAAGAGTGACGTAAGACAAAATTGATAAGATAAAGAAACCTATGAAGAAGAGATTGAGTAAGAATGTAAAGGCTAATAAGGTTAAGGATAAAAATAACAAACTTGAAAGGAAGATGATGAAGACATTAAAGGGAGAGAACAATTGATTGAAAGAAAGATATTGAATGGGTGATTGATGAGAAGGTAAAAGAGCTTGAAAAATAAACAAACTTGATAATGGAAACTAAGATTTGAGAAGAAAGGAGACTTGATAAGAATGAAGAGGCTTTGAATAGGGAAGCTTTAATTGAGAAACTTGACAAGAGTGAAATGAGGAGGTGACTTACCTTAAAGAGTCTTACTTGTCATTTTGAAGGAGCTTTGTAACTTGAAGAAGCCAAGCTTGAATTGTGAATCTTGATTATTGGAAGGAGAGTGAGATCCAAGCTTGATTGTTGAGTAGAGAAGCACCTCCAAGCTTGAGTGTTGAGGTGCAGATCTTGTTTATTGTGTAGAGAAGAACCTCCAAGCTTGAGTGTTGAAGGTGAAGCTTGAGTCTTGATTAGAAGAAAGTCAAATGTTGATGTTGAGGCCTCAAAACTTAAAATGCACTAGTCCAAAGGAGGTACATGATGGACTTAAAGAGCAACCATTGATAACAATCTAGTAGAAAGACTATGAAGCATAAACTTCTCTAGAGTTGGAGAACATGGCTATGAGCTTGGATTGGGAGAGGTTGGTGGTGAGTGGAGCCTTAGGAGTTGGGCATGAGGAGGAGGACTTTGAAGTGGCCTTGTGAGAGCTTGGAGTAGAACTTGTGCAGAGCTTAGGTAAAAACTTGCTTGAAAAGTATGTGTGAAGAATGGGGTGGACCCTTTTTTTGTATTTGGTGGAGCTTGAGGTTGGATGAAGAAGAGGAGGAGATGAATGATTGTGATTGGTTAAGTTGGATAAGGTGGGGGTGATGAATGTGGCCTTGAATTTAAGGCTTGGTGAGTGGAATGAATGTGGCCTTGAAATTAAGGCTTGGTGATTGGAATGAATGGGGCTTTGATTTAAGGCTTGGTAGGGAATCTTTGGATTGATTGGTGGAGGAGAAGGTTGAGGAGGATTGGAGAAGATATGAGGTGGAGGATTGAAGGATTTGTATTGGGTGAAAATGGAAGTGTGCCTTGCTGACTGGAGATAAGGATGATGAAGTGGCGAATGGGTAATGTTGGGAGATGCCCTTTGCAGATTCGAATTTTGGCTGACGGGGAAACTGTGGCGAAAATTTTCGCCACGTGAAAATTTTCCCGCCACCCTGGTGCCACGCGAGCATCAGCAGCAGTTCATTCCAACAAAGCATGCTCAATGATTGGCCTTGTCGCACATCATGCGATTGCTTTGCGAGGAACCCATCATGCGCCGGTCGCACAGTAGCACAGTCGCCCACCAGTTCCATGGTCCATCCATCCATCATCCAGCCCAGTCTCCCGCAAACGACTCCGATTTGGTCCAATGGGAGCAATTCGTGATTCAGGAAGTCGCACATCAATTCCCACCCACCAAGCTACCATGAAGTACCAAACTAGAACGCCATATATCTGCCCAGAAACCACACTAACCGCATTCTAAACCAGCTCGGATGGTTTTTGAGTCAGAATGCAAACCACGTACAAAAGACATTCCCTAGGCTCGTCTTCCCCAACTTTCTCCTCCTCTTCCTCCCCACCAGCAGCGGTCTCCTGCCAAAAACGCTCAAGCCATAAGCTGAAACCCTAGATTCCTCCCCAATCATTCGACACAACACACGAAACTCGGAAACACTTCCTTCGTTGGCACTTTAGGGTTAGTAGTGGTATGGCAGTTCGGCTGCGCTGGCAGGTCGTTGCCGGACCCCTTAGTGCTTAGTTGAACGGCGAGGTGGATTCGGGCTTTGAGGTGGATTCTTGCATGATAGCTGTTCGAGTAGTATTTTGTTGATAAACGACTGGTTTCTCTGGTAGATAAGAGCCTATTAGTTTCGTGTCTCAACGTTGTTACTGTATCAATCTATCAACGCACCTTCAAGCCCTGGCCTCGAGTGGTACACTCAACTTACTGGTTATACATAGGGATATTTGGTCCCAATAACATTTCAGAAAGTGGCAGAGAGGGGGTGGAGGGAGCCGGCGAGGCTCCTTTCGCCGTCAACTCACGCCTGACGGACGTCAGTCGCGATGTCGGCGATCGTCTGCGGTAAGCGGTCAGCGTTCGAGGAGAGTACCGTCGAGGTCTTTCATCCAGCAAGCCGGTCCGCATTCGACGACAGCATCTACGTCGCTCTGCCGCCCGTTTCCAAGCGAGGTCGCTGGTTGCAGCCGCCGTCGCCGTCGCGCTGCGCGTGGGTTGAAGACCCGGCAGGAATCAGCGTCGGGATCCGCGGAGGGTCGTTGGCGGAGAAAGTGGTGCTGCTGCGAAGCATGTTCGGCGGCGTGGAGGAGCAGGTGAGCGGATATCTGTTTCAGTCTTTCTCTTTCTTCCTTTTTTGTCAGGAAAAGGAGCAGATACATGTGTTGGCTCTTATCGGTCTGTATTTCGCTTGTCGCTTGTTTCACGAATTCGCTTTCATTTGCGCTAATGTCGTCGCCTCATTCTGACTGCAAAAATCAGCACGATAGCTCCGCTTTTCACCACCATCCCATATTGTGTATTTTTTCAACTCGTGGTCGCGTCGCAGGTCGTTCACCAGGTGTTGGAAGCGTGCAATCACGACATCGACTCCGCCATCCAGTCGCTCAAGGGTTTGCGAATCATCGCCGCGGATAACGCCGCCATATCACACGTTCAGCTTCAACATTCCGCTGATCCCGCCGCAGCTCGCGGTGGGTGCCTTGCTGTGTGTGCCTTTGTAAGAATGTGCACGTGGACCTCCTCGTTCGCTCTCATCTCATTGCATGTCTGCAGCTCACTTTTCTCGATTCTTCTGCATGTCCACGACGCCATTGCCGTTCGTTTGTTACTATCTCTCAGATTCCCGTTTCATTTCATCGGTTCCATTCCGTTTCAACTCATCCGTTTTATCTAATTGGTGTCATCTCTCAGCCGCGGAGCAAGCGGATCAACATTCGCCGACAACGGGGCAAGCTCAACCTCTACAGGAGCCGCTGCAGGGCCAAGCGGGTCCCGCGCCCGCATTAGAATCACCAGCCGGAGCAGCAGCTGCAGCAGTAGCAGGTGGAGTAGGGGAAGGCAATGGGGTTCCGTCGAGCGGTGCAGAGTGGGTAGAACTGGTGGTGCGGGAGATGATGTCAGCAGTGGACGTTGATGACGTCAGGCAGAAAGCAGCCATGGTTTTGGAGCAGTTTGAGAAGGAGGTGCGGAAACGATGCGAAGCCGCTGCTGCCGCCAGTGCCGCTGCCAGTGTCCCGCAGGTGTGTGGGACTGTTGGCATACCTTACGAATTGCGGCATTTTGAAATCAAGACATGCATGCGTGTCCGCTGCTGCTGCTGCTGCTGCTGCTGCTGCTGCTGCTGCGACGAGTTGAAGCCACGTTCTCACACTCCAATGCTCAAGACGTCGAATCACGTCCCACCCACTCCATCCCTCCGCCATTCACTCTGTGCAGGTAGCCGCCAATGGCGTTTCTGCGGGGGCACACGCAGAGCAACACGTGGCAGCTCTGGTGAAGGAGAATCAGATCTTGAAGCGAGCGGTGGCGATTCAGCATGAGAGGCAGCGGGAGCACGAGGCGAGGGAGGGGGAGCTTGTGCATATGCGACAAACGCTGGCACAGTACCAGGACCAGATGCGGAAACTGGAGGTGAGCTGATTAAGATAAGGCAGATTCTGGCACTGACGCGGGCGCAATACCAGGGTCCAGCTTAGGAAACTGGAGGTGAGCTCTTGATCTCCAAAGCATCTGGCGCTGGTAAGGCAGGCGCTGGTGCAACAACAAGATGAGCAGTACTGGCGCAGGTAGGGGCACTGGCGCAGGTAGGGCAGGCACTGGCGCAGGTAGGGCAGGCACTGGCGCAGGTAGGGCAGGCACTGGCGCATCGCCAGGATTAAACGTGGATGCTGGCGGTAGGGTCTCGTGTTTCAATGCAGGTCTTATATCTGGCTGTATCTCATTCCTTTTCTCTCCGGGGGGGCTTTTTGTGACGGTTGGGGTGGGATGCGATGTCCTTGTGTTGCATGATATGGCATGGTTTGGCATGGTGTGGCATGGGTGCAATGGGGTGTGCGGGGGTAATGGTGGGTTGCTGCTGGTGCTGTGCATGGCAGGTGAGCAACTATGCCCTTAGCCTGCACCTCCAGAAGGCACAAGGCACAGGGACCATCCCCAACCGCTTTCACCCAGATGTCTTCTAACCGCACCTCACCCAACTCCCGCGTACCGCACCCAACTGGTGCTGCTGTGTTTTGATTCCTACATGTGCTTACTTAGCACAAAGCAGTACCTAGTCTGCTTTGTGCAGAGTGCCTCTTCGTAATACAGCGAAGCAAAGCAAGCGTGGCGCTTGCACATTTTGTGTTTGTGTGCCCCCTCATTGTATATCCTTGTACAAATACCAAGCTCCACCTTGGTGGATCTTGTGAACGAATCAACTGTAGTATAACAGTATAATGTTTCTTAATAGTATCAAGCTCTTAGTAAATTTTTTCTTTGTACCATACCCCATCATAGGGATTAGCTTGTTAAAATCTCAGTTTCACTCCAGAGTAACCACCAGCCTTACTCAATGGCTTTCCAGGTTCCTAAGCAGGCCTCACGTTTTCAGAGTAAATTACTCTGTTTCTCTGAAAATCAGAGTCATTTTTGAAAGTAACTCTGTACCCGCTGGGTATTTTTTTTGGGACTTCCGATTTCTCTGATTTGTCAGAGTTATGCTGTAGTTTACTCTGAGGCCTCTGGGTTTTTTTTTCGGGGACCGAATTTACTCTGTATAGGAAAACCTGCCGGCCCCCCTCCCCCTCCCCCCTCCCCTCCCCACCCCCCCCTGCGTTTAGCGGGTTTTCCCCGAATCGTCGAGATCATTCTCCTGATTTCTGTCGTGTGTTGGCGGCAATATGAGCGCTGATTGGCTACCGTAGTTTGACAACTTTCCCAACCAGCGCACGATGCCAGCCAGTCCCCTCTCTCTTTATGTCTGAAGTGAACGTCGACGTTTCCCGACGAAACTTTGAGGGACGTCGAGGAATCCTGACGGTCGGAACGCTCAATCCGAGGGTTGAGATTCGCCAGCATTCCCCGACGAAACTGTACATCCGTCGACATTTCACTTCAGACACTGTACTGCCGCCAACACCTCACTCTAAAACATCGCAGTGAGGGGGGAAACGTGGGCGACGCGGAAATGAAACACAATGCAAGTACAAAAGGCGTAACAAAAACCTATTAAGGTCATGGTACACCAAACTTAACTAACATCAGAGTAGAGAAAAATATTACTCTGACGTGCCTGGGTTTTTTTTTGCAAGTATAGGGTTACTCTGACAAATCAGAGTAAGGCGCAGGAACAACCCTAGATTTCAGAGTTGGGAAAAAAACTACTCTGGAAATCAGAGTACCTAAAATCCAAAAATAGGCCCTGTTCCTAAGGCAGCAGGCAGTACTCATCCACGGTAGTTTCTGGGTATTGTACTTCAGGTTTACCAACACCGCAAGGTTTCAGTCAAACATACAGAGCACCACGGTCCACCAGTACTGTATAATGTTACCGTCATCGTCCGGATATAAGACATACCGTATTACCCCGGATATAGGCGCATATGCGCCTATAATAAAATCATTTTTTTAGGGGTGGCGCTTGTAATTGAATAACGGCCATAAGCGCCGGCGCTTATATCATGGCAAAAATGAATTTGTTATTTTTATGTACCAAATCAAAGCCCGCAATAAGGCGAACACAATTGAGTAACGTGCGCGTGGGATAATGCATGTAATCCCGCCGAAAACTGCTGCGCTTCGATTCCCGACCGCACAAATCCCGTCCACGAGCAGCGCACCTGCCAGCGCTGACGTGAAAGTTGCCTTGCGGCCCAATCAGGCTTTCATGCGCTGGCAGGCGGCTGCATTTCACCCGAACCATCGAGAAGGGGCTGGAATGCCCTGCCAGCGCAGCATCTTCGTGCCGCGATAACCTCCTCTCCGGGTTCAGACAGGGGGTACCCGTCTCTTTCCGACGAGGACCCCGAGGCGCTAACCAGAAGGGGTCCCTTTGAATCTCTCATTTGTTCTCCATCTCTCTCAGTTTCTCGTTCGGGTTCTTGGTAGTTCTCGCCTGGCTGCCGCCGCCATGGCGGAATTCAGCGGCACCCACTTCTTGTTCAAGAAAAAGTCTACGCGAAGGCCCGCGTTTAGAGTAGACGCTGACGGGTGGTACTCCCGTATCCCACCAGAACCACCAGAGCCACCACGGCCTCCTGCGCCTCCTGCGCCTCCTGCGCCTCCTGCTCCTCCTTCGCCTCCTGCACCTCCTGCGCCTCCTGTTCCTCCTGCTCCTCCGCCTCTGGGTCCTGTGTCTCCGCAACTCACTGGCAATCAGCCCGTGCTCACGATACTGCTCCCATCGGCGTTCGACGAATACCTCTCCGAACCGGAGTCTAACAAGGCGCAAGATGAGTACGTGGAAGTGGAACACTTTCCTGGAGGACGTTGGGGACAGCCCGACGATTGCCCTTGGGACGAATCTGCGGTCGGCGCCGACGATGATGTTGCTGACGCAGAGGAAGCGAGCGGCGCTGACGGCGCCGAGGGTGGCACGGAGGCTTCCGCCGGGGGCGGCGCCCAGGGCGGCACCGCTGACGATGTGTTTCCAGAAGGTGTTACGGGCGACGCTGACCGACCCCAGGCACAAGCTCACCGACCACAAGCGGCAAGGTTACACCGCCGCGGAGAAGTTGAAGTGGGTTGCTCTGATGGACTTGGCGGTGGCGGTGCGCGCCTTGGCTCGCGAGAGCGGAATCCACCGGAAGTGTCTCACCAACTGGAAGCGGGCGGCGGAATTCCTCAAGGATGTTCACTCCTCTCGGAAGCGCATGCACGGCCGCGGGCGAGCGTCGTGGTACCGGCCGATGGAGTTGAAGGTGTACGAGAAGCTACTCGAGTGGCGCCGCAAGGGAACCGCCGTGTCAGTCGGCCGCTTGCAGGAGTGGTCGCGGGAGTTCATGAAGCTTCTGTACCCGGACAAGAAGTGGAAAGGAAGCCAGAGGTGGTCGGAGCGCTTTCGGCGGCGATGGAATCTGAGCGTCCGCATGAAGACCCGGGTTGCCCAGAAAACCGCAGCGCGTGAGAATTACCCCGTTCAATTTGGCACGTTGATTTTCTTTAATTGTACTAACGCCCTCCGTCTGTGTCCGACGTCTCTTCCACCGCCGTGCAGATGTCGCTGATCAGTGCAAGAGCTTCTGGCAGTTCGTGCGTGCCAAGCGTCGTGAGCGCGGCATCGACACCGCGTGGATCATCAACGCGGACCAGACGCCGCTCTGGCTGGAGATGCCCGCCACCACCACCGTGGAGGAAACGGGTGTTCGCTCGGTGCCTATCAGGAGCGCGGGGTATCAGAAGCAGAGAGTGACCGTGATGTTGGCGTGCACGGCGGACGGAAGGAAGCTGAAGCCGTGGGTGTTCTTCAAGCGCAAAACCTTGCCGAAGGGCGATTTCCCTGCCGGTAAGTAAAGAGGTGCACGGCTCGGTCACTGCGTTCTTTTCAGAGTTCGAATTCTAACCACCCGTGCGTGTTTCATGCAGATGTGGCCGTGGCTTGCCACGAGAACGGGTGGATGGACTCCCCTGGCGTCGTTCGCTGGCTTGAGGAGTGCGTGAAGCCGTTCCTGAAGCCTCGGTTCGGCAGACACGCCAAGAGCTCGATGCTGGTGCTGGATTCTTACCGCGGTCACCTCACCGAGGAGGTGAAGGAGAAGCTCCGCGAGATGAACTGCGTGCCGGCAATCATCCCGTCGGGCTGTACGGCGGAGGTACAGCCGCTCGATGTCTGCATCAACAAGAGCTTTAAGGCGTCGGTCCGCCAGCATTACCAGAGGTGGTTTGAGGCAGAGGGGCAAGAGCAGCTGACGGCAGCAGGTATGGCATGAGTACAGTATTCCCCCCCCCCCCCCCCGAATTCTTTGTTGTTGCACTAACTACTTTCTACCGTTCTCCCGTAATGTTTCAGGGAACCTGAAGAAGCCTTCACCAGAGGTCGTCCTGCGGTGGGTATCACAAGCCTGGAAGGCAGTGCCCGCCGACCTCATCAAGCATGCCTTCCTCACCTGTGGCATCAGCAACCAGCTTGACGGCAGTGAGGACGGACTCGCCATGGCGCACAGGCGGAGCCAGTTGACAGCTGAAGTGGATGTCGACGATGACATCATCGCTGATGGTTTTTTTGGCAACAACTGCCAGGAGCCCGAATCTGACGAGGAGGAGTAGGAGGGTTACTGTATGATCCATGTTACCGTAGGTAGAAGTACCCCGGCTAAACTTGTTAGGAGATCTAGTTTAATTTGATGTTGCTTAGAAAAGGTGACAATTTAGTAAATTCTTTTGTAATGCCTCCAATGAAAGGTTAAGGGATGCGCTTATAATAAGGATAGAATTTTCAGGGGGTGCGCTTATAATCGAGTTCCGGCCATAAGCGCCATGCTCCAGATAGAGGCGCCGGCGCCTTTAATCGGACGGCGCCTATATCCGGGGCCATACGGTATATGTCTTATCTCGTACATGGGTAAAAATACTTGGGTTGTCATGTATTTTGGGACGGTTTAGAGTGTCTTAGGGTACATTCCGCGCTGGACATGTCCCAATCGAAAGTGTCCCAATCGTTTCTACCGCACTGCATCGTATTACACCAAATTGCACCCTCGTTTCGAAATTTTCGCGTCTCTGGTTTAGTTTGGTTCGGAGCGGTACACTCGATCGGGACACATCGATTGGGACAGTGTCCACAGCGGAATGTACCCTTATAAGAGCATGTTCCTACAGCCTCTAGTCAGTCTGGGCCCTTGTCAGACTCGCCTCAAACACTAATATTTCGGCTTAACCCTACTTTTTATCTATTTCTTTCCGTTGCTTGGTGAAGTGCGCGATACAATGAGTGGGGTGACGTGGCACTGCGCAGCGCTCCCGTTCCGAAAGGTTGCAAATGTACAAATGTTTCCTGAGTCCTGACAAAACACAAACGACCGAACTGCGCGCTTGGTGGCTGTAAAATCTTCGTCTGCGCGAATAACTGACCTGGCTCGCCGAAACAGCACGTCTTCGTTTCGCGTGACCAATTCATCGAAGCCGCTGAAAAATGGTGTTAATAACGAAATCGCTCGAATGACCAAGTCTGACAAGGGCCCAGCCTGACTTAGAGGCCGTAGGAACATGCTCTAAGTCTTAAAAATGGACAGAACCGTTTAGAAGATACCTCCTCGTTATACAATTGCCCCTAACCCCTACACTGGCTTAACTCGTACACACAAATACGTGTCTAATAATGAGGCTACCCCGTTTATAATGACACCCGGATAATAGACAACCCCTATCTTCTATTCAACACTGTCTTATATCCGGGTGATGACAGTACATACATGTGAGTTACTCACACTTGTATACCCCACACCGTCACATCTCTCTGCATCACCCCTCTTCGTGACTGTCACGTCACCTCCTCTTCTCCCCAGTGGGAACCCAAGGAGGCAGAGGCGGGCATCCCTCAGGCCGAGATATCGCACCCCCTGCCAGCCCCGGCACTCTCACCACCTTGCCTGCCCCTCCACCACACCCACCGCCACTACCACAGCTACTGCCACCGCCACCAGTACTGCCACTGCTACTGCCCCCGCTACTGACACTGCCACTGCTGCTGCCACTCCCACCACCACTGCCACAGCTCGCACCACTCCCACACCCACCCACTGCACCCGATGCATCCCCTTCCGAGCTCCCTCCTTTCAATTCCTTATCCGGCACAAAGCAGGGCGGATTCCCCCCAGGGAACGACGGGCACATGGCGCTTGCCTTGGTCTCTGGGGGCGGCTGAAACGTGGCTGACTGCGGCGTGAGCAGCGAGCTAGAGGAGGAGTAGGAGGGAGAGGAGGCAGAGGCAGAGGGGGGGGATGCAGAGGCTTTAGCGGCGGTGGCAGTGAGGAAGGAGGAGGAGGCGGAGAGGGAGGAGAGGGAGTCGGAGGAGCGGATGAGCGGGCGGTCGAACTTGATGCGGAACTCCATGGTGGTGCGGCGCAGACACTCTATGGCGAGGGTGGATGGGTCGATCCGGACTGGGACCTCCCGGATGCGCGTCTGATGTGGGGAGTGGGGGGGGCTCGGGAGGGGGGATGACAATGGATTTTTCACAAAGTAGCCCTTATTGGTTGATACATGCAGTAAACTGCTGATTCACACATGCACCGCTCACATCCACCCACACCTGCCCACACCTGCCCACATCCGCCCCCCACCCGTCCCACAACCGCACCTGCCAGTACACGAAGTAACCGCGCTCTGCCAGAATGTCCGCCAGCATTTGAGGCGCTCCTGGGGGTTGGGGGCACCGGGAGAGATGCGGGGGATGGGAGAGGAGGAGAGGAGGAGAGGAGGAGGAGAGGCTTCGAGGAACAGAATTGAAGAGGAGGTCAGGAGGCGTACAGGGAGGTGAGCATAGATGAACGAAAATGAAAGAACATGAGTATCCGACAGCACGCACCTTGCAGGCATGAGGAGATTAGAAGGGGAGGGGCAGCTCAGCCGAATTCACGTTTGAGAATTCTCACAAGCACCTCGGTTTTGAAGATGGCAAAGCCTTGAAGTGCGCCTCATTCTCAACACAACTTATTCTTGAAGCATCTCAAAAGGAGAGAAAGAAGAGGCAACGTACCTGGGCGGTCGAAGAAGACCGGCAGCTCTGTGTTGAAGATAGCAAAGCCTGAGTCTATTCAAGAGGAGCCTCATTTCTTAGGTGCTTCACAAGGTGATGAGAAGAGGCAGCATACCTGGGCGGTCGAAGAAGACGGGCAGCTCTGTGTTGAAGATGGCAAAGCCTGAGAATCCTTTCTTTATGAGGCGCCTCATAACCAGGTGCCTCCAAAGAAACCGAAAAAAGAGGCGGCATACCTGGGCGGTCGAAGAAGACGGGCAGCTCGGTGTTGAAGATGGCAAAGCCTGAGCGTCCATTCGTGAGGCGCCTCATAACCAGGTGCCCCGAAAGGGGCTGTAAAAGAGGTAACGTACCTGGGCGGTCAAAGAAGACTGCGAGCTCGGTGTTGAAGATGGCAAAGCCTGAGTCCATTCTCGAGGCGCCTCATTCTTGAGGTGCTCAAAATGGAATGAAGAAGAGGCAGCATACCGGGGCGATCAAAGAAGACGGGGAGCTCAGTGTTGAAGATGGCAAAGCCTGAGAGGGCGGAGCGACGGATGATGGGTATGACCTGAGAGTCGATCACTGCGATCACCTGCAGAAGGATGGGTGTGGATGGGTAAGGAGGGGTGCATGCGTAAGGGCATACGGGTTGCAGTGATGGGAATGACCTGTGAGTTGATCACCTCGATTACGTGCAGGGAGATGGGTGCGGATAGGTGAGGCTGGGTGAGGCTGGGTGCATGTGTAAGGTACATGGGTCCCAATGATGGCAATGCCTTGAAAGTTGACTTCAGGGGCGGTTGGGTCATGAGATAGATGACGGGGCATCAAAGCGCTGGGATAGAGGGGGCAAGATAAGGCAAGATAGGGCCTGACGGGACACGCAAAACGAGGCTTGATGCAATGAATCTAGTACCTCCTTGAAGGTGGCCGGGTCCTTTTGCTGGTAACTGTCGAGGCGAGTGACCATGTTCTGCCTCGCATACTTGGCTATGTCCTGCCGACCATGAGGGGACAGATGGGGATATAGGGGAGGCGGGAGAGAGGTTGGCAGAGAGAGGGGAGGAGGTAGAGAGGAGGGTACTTTTGCTGGTAGCTTTCGAGGCGAGTCACCATGTTCTGCCGCGCATACTTGGCTATGTCCTGCCGGGGAGAAGCGTGGAGAGAGGTGACGACAGAGAGAGCCACAGAAGAAGGAAGCGAGGGAATGGGTGGGCGGGTGGGGAGAGGGGAAGGCGAATGCGGAGGGGAGAGGGCTGATACCATGGAAATTTGTGCTTTGGTGGATGGAAAACGGATAGGCAAGGAGAGAGTAAGTCGAACAGAAGCAAAGACACATCGAGACACTAGGAAAGGGCTGATACCATGTGACTGACTGATGGTAAACTGAGTGTGGCTGCCTGATGTTCAGAATGCGATCGGATTGCATTGAAATAGCTTTAGGTGCGGGCAGCAAAAGAGGGGGTAAGGGAAAGAGAATGCAAACGGAATCCATACAGAGGCGAGGGGAATGTGGCTGATGGCTCGGAACGTGGTGAGGTTGAGCTCCAACGCGCTCTGATACTGTAGCTCCTTCTCTATCTGCACATCGCAGAGCAGAGCAGCGCAGAGCAGAGCAGAGAAGTAAGAGAATGTGAGGCGCTTTTGAAAATTCTCGAAAGTGGCTTGGAATGTGGTTAGGTTGAGCTACAATGCGCTCTGGTACTGTAGCTCCTTCTCTATCTGCTCGCCACAGGGATGAGCAGAGAACAGCAGATCACAGCACAGCACAGCAGAGAACAGCAGATCACAACACAGCAAAGCAGAGAACAGCAGATCACAGCACAGCAAAGCAGAGCAGAATTGACAAGGTAGAATGGGGAGGAAAGACATGAGAAGTGCGAAAAATGGGGGAGGGGAGGAGAAAATTCGAGAAACAAATTTGATGGCAGGTGGCGGTGCTGTCAAGAGAGGACAGGTGGGCTGCGGAGGCCTTAATTTGATGGCAGGTGGCGCGGTAAAGTTAAGAACCACAAGCCTCTGAACCACAAGCCTCTGAACCACAAGCCTCTGAACCACAAGCCTCTGAACCACAAGCCTCTGAACCACAAGCCTCTGAACCACAAGCCTCTGAACCACAAGCCTCTGAACCACAAGCCTCTGAACCACAGGCCTCTGAACCACAAGCCTCTGAACCTCTGAACCACAAGCCTCTGAACCACAACTGCTTCTCAAGTTGCAGTCAGTGATTGATGTTTAACATACACCTCACGATAGGTATTCGTCCCACCCTTTTGCTGCTAATACCCTTTTACCGTACCGTATTACCCCGGATAGAAGCGCAGGTGCGCTTATAATAAAACAGTGTTTTTTAGGGGGGTGCGATTCTAATCGAGTCATGTGTATAAGCGCATGCGCTTATAATAGGAAAAAAAAACATTCACTTTTAAACATACCAAATTGAAGCCCGCAATAAGGCGAATTCAACCGACCATGCAACACGTGGGATCGTGCATGGTTTCCAGACAAAAACATCAGCGGTTCGGTTTCCCACCGCACAGTTTTGTCTAGAACCATCGATCGTGACAGCAGTGACGGGGATGTTGCCGTGCGGCCCAATCACAGTCGCATGCATTGCGTGGCATGTGCATTTCTTCCGAACCCTCTCGAAGGGTGGGGAATATTCCCTGCCAGCGCAGCTTTTATGCTGCCATGCAAGGTCCTCTACGGGGGTAGGCGGGGGTTTCCCGCGTGTCATTGACGAGGACCCCGAGGCGCCAACCTTATGGGGTCCCCTTCGTTGCCCATTTGTGTACCCTCGTTCTCATTTTTTTCATTCAGATTCCAGTGAAGGCCGCCTGGCTGGCGAAGCCATGGCGGAATTCAGCGGGACACACTTCCTCTTCAAGAACAAGAGAGCTCGCCCATGGCGACTTACCGACGACGGGTGGTATACCCGTGAGCCAGCAGTGCCTCCAGTGCCACCTGAACCCCCAGCGCCCCCTGCTCCTCCTGCTCCTCCTACACCTCCTGCTCCTCCTGCTCCTCCCGCACCTCCCGCTCCTCCAAATCCGCCTGATATCGGTGCCAGTGCTCACCAACGACCCGTGCTCCAGCTGTATTTACCAGCCACTTTCGACGAGTGGCTGTCTGAACCGGACACACCCAAGGCCCCTGATGTGTTCATCCAGGCTCCGCCGCCTGCACCACGGTGGGGACAGCTCGAAGCCTGCATGTGGGACGAGTCAGCTGTGGGCGCCGACGATGACATGGCCGCCGATAAACAAAACAGCGGCGACGGCGACGGTGTCGGCGACGGTGAAGCGGGTGCCGAGGAGGACGTGTTCCCAGATCGTGGTGCAAGTGCCGAGGACGACGACGGTGTGGAGTCATGGTGGCGCGACGCACCACGCGAGAAGATGCCAATACCGACGTATCCGCCGATTAACAAAAAACGACCCCACCCCTCCTCCCAGAACCGAGATGCCCGTGTGAGATAATTGACGAAAGAATGAATCAAGTAGAAACTGAGATGGGTACAAGTAGAAAACATAAGTGTTGTACCCTCTAAGAGCTACCCCACTACAGCCTAAATAGACTATAGCAGATATAAGTTTGACACACCCCCATAGGCAAAGTGGGGGAGAACAAGAGGTCACAAGACCAGTCAAGAAAGGCAAAGCAAGCTCAGGGTGGATCACAAAGTCACCACACAGTCTGAGCACAAGCAAAGGGCCATAAGGCCAGTTCACATGCAGAGTTATATAAATGAAAGCAAACAATACAGTGAACACAACCTAGCAAGTGTAAGCATGCAGGTATAAGTATAGAGAGTACAGTACAAGCAGAGTCAAGAAGTCAACAAGTGAGGCACAGTAGGTACAAGACCTAACACAGTACAGAAACGCTGATGATCACAAGGCTGAAGTGCCTTGGTGAAAACATCAGCAGTGTTGGCCTAAGAGGCCACATAAGCAAGACGAAGCTGGCCACGCTGCTGCAACTCTCGAGCAAGGAAGTAGCGCAGAGCAATGTGCTTCGTTCTGTGCTCCAGTCTGTGCTCCTGACACAAGGCCAGCATGGCCTTGTTGTCGACGTACAGAACTGGAGGAGAACGAGGCGCCTCTCCCAAGTCGGTCAGAAGGTAGGTGAGCCAGCGAAGCTCCTGTGCAGCCATGGCTCCAGCGTAGATCTCAGCCTCACAACTGGAGCTGAGAACAGAAGAAGAGCGGGTAGACCGCCAAGAGACAGAGCCGGAGCCAAGACTGAAGGTGTAACCCTGTGACGACCGCTGCGTAGCCAAGTCGTCAACCCAGGAGGCGTCAGCGTGACCAGTGAGGACAACTCGAGCCCGTCCTCCAAGCACGAGCCCCATGCCCGATGTACTGCACAAGTAGCGCAACACCCTCTTCGCAGCATCCCAGTGCACCTTTCGGTGCCTACCGGGAGCCACGTAGCGAGCCAGAAGGCTGAGAGGGTATGCGAGGTCAGGTCGTGTGCAAGTCATCAGGTACATGAGGCAGCCCACAAGCTCTGGATACGGGCCACTCGGCTCTACGGACTCGTCCGAAGGTGGAGCTGAGAGCGAGTGACCGGTAGGCAGAGGAGTGGACTGTGGCGAGGAGTACGTGAAGCCGAAGCGCTGAAGGACCTGCTGCACCATGTGTGACTGAGTCAAGGTAATGGTGCGCTGTGCTCTGTCCCGGGTGATCCGCAAGCCAAGATAGCTTGTCAGCTCACCCAGGTCTGTGCACGTGTGTCTCTTCTGCAGCTCGGACTTCACGTGGGCGAGTGCCTCCGTGTCAGCAGTAGCAAAGACAAGGTCGTCTACGTACACAAGAACGTAGAACGGCGGCAGAGTAGCGTCAGTGCGTAGAAACAGAGAAGGGTCAGCAGTGGAAGGAGCAAAACCAAGAGCAGCAAGAGTCGTCCTGAGCGTGTCGTGCCACTCACGGGGCGCCTGGCGGAGACCGTAGACTGGCCGCCGGAGGCTCCACTGGGTACCAGCAGGAAACGACCCAGTGAAGCCAGGTGGGCGGCGCAGCCAGATCTCCTCGTGCAGGCTGCTCTGTAGGAAGGCTGTGCTGAAGTCAAGCGAGTGGAGCTCGTAGTCACGCTGAGCAGCAACGTGCAGCAGTACCCGAAGAGTGGTCATCTTCGGGGTAGGGGAGAAGGTCTGAAAGAAGTCAACTCCCTGTCGCTGACTGAAGCCACGTGCAACGTAACGCGCCTTGAAGGCAGGCGGAGAACCCGGCGGCCGCTTCACCCTGAAGATCCACATGCCACTGACGATGTTCGCCCCAGGTGGGGGAACCTCGTCTACGTAGGTGCCTGTGGACTTCCAGGAAGCCATCTCTGCGTCCATGGCTGCTTGCCACTGAGAGGAGTAGGGACCCTCTATCGCCTCTGCGTAAGAGCGCGGGGTCGGGATGTCTAGTGCATCCGGGTCTCCCTCAGGGGCAAGCAGCATGGACACGAGATGAGGTGAAGCAGCAGCAAAACACTCAAGGTCCTCCTGTCTGTCCTCAAGGACGTCCGTGCCAAGAGCACACTCACCCCCGACGGACGGAGGACAGACAGACGCAGACGCAGACTCAGCAACAAGACTAGCGGCGTAGTCTAGGCGACAGGCTGCAGCAAAGTCCACAAGCTCAGCAACAAGAGCAGACGCAGCAGAGGACTCAAACAGAGGGTCAGTGACAGCAGTGGCCAGAAAGCGCGTGACAGTAGGACTAGCAGCACGAAGGGAGTCAGACTCCGGGTCCGGACCGTCAGG